TATCATCTCAAATTGTTGTTTTTAACACATAATAAAAAAATATTATTCAATAATAAAAATTCATACAATAAATAAATAAATTCATCGTAAATTAAGATGGATAAAGAATTAAAATTTTTTACTTTAGTGATTAGAAAAATTAGGGATTAAAATCACTTTTCATGTTATAAAGATGATTGAATCATCTAAATAATTTTACCAAAATATTGAGATGACTGTCTTGAATATAATCAAATTATTTTCTTGAAACGATATGCATTATGTGCAAAATTTATCTAATACAACAGAACAAATATATATTGTATGTCGTCTCTTAAGTATGATAAGTTTAACTATCTTGCCGTTTTAACAAGTTTATAATACTTGTAAAACTTGAAACTCTATAAAATAAAATAATGAAACGATACTCTTACTCGAATCTATAAATACCTAAAAAGAAGAAGCAAATAATACGATTTTATAATTTTTTTTTCCTAAAAGAGTACTGCTGTTCTTCTCTTGGAGTAGAAGAATGTTGTTGTATGAAGGAAAAATCACATATATATATATATATATATATATATATATATATATATATATATATATATATATATAGTAGACAATTGAATTAATCAAATAAATGCTAGAAACGGTAACAGAAAGAAAAACGTCGCAGAGTAAATGTCAAAAGAGGGCCTTTGCAATTGAATGTTTAAATGCTTTTTTTTTTTTTTTTTTTTTTTTGTAAATTGAAAAATGAAACTTTCAGCAGTTTCAAAACAGTGCTATAAGCACTGTTTTGAAATCTATGTCTTTTCCTTTTAAAAAAAAAAATAATAATAATAAAGGTTTTAATATTAAGATAAAAAATATTCCAACAATTGCGTAGAGCTTCTTTAGTTAAACAGTGAAAATATTAGTTGGTTGCATCTTATGAGAAATTTACAGAGCCTGTTTTAAACTAACTTCAACATCCTTGGACAACATTTGCAAATGTCCAGTACACAATGGACAAACTGTCACCACTACACTCCTGAATTAATTACAACCATATATTATATATGTGTGGCGCCATATTCAATGACATGATAAAAGAAAAATACGAAATGGTTCCTTATATATAGTTGGGTGTTCTATACTTCTATTCGAAAGCGAAGCGCAAATGGAACACCTTCACCTACCACATTAATTAAAAAAATATAATAAGCATCCATGCATGAGAATCTGTTTCCATCACGGTCTCTTAGTTTTGACCGTTAGGCAGCATTTCGTTTTCCTCCATAATTAATCCTGCTTTCTAGATATTTGCAGAGTTTAAAATTTTTTTAAGGTCATGGCAACAGTAAGTGGCTCAACAACTATCTGAAAACAAAACATAAATTCTGATCTTATCCCAAATTAATTAAACTTAATTTTGAAATTGATAAATTAAAGACAGAAGATAAACAGCTATAGCCTATATAACCTATGTGGCTTACAATTCGAACTGAAACCCAACTCATGCAAATACAACGAAAACACACTTTTAAGGATTTTTTTTTTTTTTTTTTCCTATTAACGAGATGCTGCACGCGTATATAGGACAAATCTCCACGGCTAATTAAATACGCGATCTACCATATCACATGCGACTGGCTCTTGAGGAGCCCATGGCCTTGGCTATGTCTCTAAGCACAGCCTTTTGGATCTTACCTGTTGATGTCTTGGGCAGATCTTCCTTAACCACCACTTTTTTGGGCACCATGTAATGTGGCAATCTAGCCCTGCAATATTCTATTATTTCCTTCTCTGTCGGGTTCCTACTACAAGCCTCCTTCAAAGTCACAAACGCACACGGCGTCTCGCCCCAAAACTCATCGGGCCGAGCCACAACCGCCGCCTCGTTAATATCTGGAAAACTGTAAAGCACTGATTCAACCTCTACACTACTCAAGTTCTCTCCACCGCTAATGATGACATCCTTAGATCGATCTTTGATCTCTAAATAACCATCAGGATGCATCACACCTACATCTCCAGTGTAGAACCAACCATTCTCTGTCATGCATTTGGCAGTAGCTACTGGGTCCTTGAGATAACCCAGCATGATGCACCCACCTCTTAAAACAATCTCACCAAGCGTTAACCCATCTCGTTTCACACTCATTCCTGTCACGGGATCCACCACGTCCACCTCAGTCATTCCAGCAGTTCTCACTCCTTGCCTTGCTTTCAACCTCGCTCTCTCTGTTGCAGGAAAAAGATTCCACTGCCGTTTCCAGGCGCATGACACCACAATTCCACCAGTTTCGGTCAGCCCATAACCATGACCCACTACGAACCCCAAGGACTCGGTACGAGAGAGTATGGTGGCAGGTGGTGGAGCCCCGGCTGTAATTATATGGACTGGATTCTTTAAGGGTTCAATAGCGGTGGGAGAACTTGATAGCATGTTGAGAACCACAGGTGCACCACACATGTGAGTTACCCCATGCTTCGTAATCAAGCCATAGATGGTGGGTGCATCAAATTTACGGAGACATATGTTAGTTCCACCAACGGCAGCCATGCCCCAGGGGTAGCTCCACCCATTAGAGTGGAACATGGGCAGGGTCCACAAGAAGACAGGCTGCTTCGGAAAGGACCAATCAACAAGGGAATCAAGGGTCATGATGAAAAGACCCCTGTGGCAGTGGACCACACCTTTGGGAGACGAGGTCGTACCTGAAGTGTAGTTGAGTACCATCGGATCAAAATCATTCTTGGGCCGGATCCAGTTGAAGGCAGGATCGCCCTTCTCCATCAAACTTTCGTAGGTATCGTAAAAGTGAATGATAGGTAATGGTTGTTGGGAGACGACGACCTCATCGTCGGCTATGAGGACGAGAAGTGGAGGCTTGGTGTTGGGTGGAAAAAGGGAGATGGCTTCAAGGACTAAGGAGACAGACATGGGATCTACAAAGAGGAGCTTGGATTCGGCGTGACGGAGGAGAAGGGAAATAGTACGTGCGTCAAGACGAGTGTTGAGGGTGTTAAGGATGGCGCCGGCCATAGGGACTGCAAAATGGAGCTCGTACATGGCAGGGATATTGGGGGCAATGATAGAAACGACGTGCCCCTTGTTAATACCGATGGAGGACAGAGATGAAGCCAGTTGGAGACATCGACGGCGGGTCTGAGACCAGATGTAGGATGTGTCATTGTAGATGATGGATGGGCAATCACCATAAACTGTTGCTGCCCTGTCCAAAAAGCCTAGAGGAGTTAGAGCATATGAGTTTGCTGGCCTTGGTCTCAGCTCTTCCATTACTTACAAGCTATGAATTTCTCCCTCAGTCAGGAAGAAGGTAGGCTTTGTGTTATTACAAGCCACAATACTACGATAACTACTTGTTAAGAGAGACTTGGACGTGGGAGAAAATATATCTATAGTGACTTAATTGTTTTTTTAAGGAGTGAAAAAATAGAATTAATATATAAGCCGGAACCATACCAAAGAGGCCGGTTGTTGACGCTACAGACACAAATATATATATACTCAAAAACAGAAAAAGTCAGTCACCAACATTTGGCATTCGCATAGTATTCAATTTCCCGGTAATTTACACGCTTTTCATCACATAAACTAATCGTCAAATCACTCGTGAGATTGGTGATTGAGAGAGGCACCATCCGCGCTTGATGTAAATGCTTTTTTTTTTTGATGTTCTAGGGTATTCGAAACTCAATTGAGCTATTTAATTTGTAAATAAATATTATTTATCTTTTATTGTTTTAATGATGAAAATAATAATCCCTAATTGGAATATGATTTAATGGGATAGACTACAAAAAGCCAACTAATGGTCTACTCACGTTGACCGTACTACTCGTGAAACTCGTGAGATGGTGATTGATTTATTTCATGGAGTCACCACTCGCGCTTAATGGAAATGCGCTTTGGTTGTTAGAATGCATCACTGTCTCTCGGTGACGCATTTATCTATATATTTAATGAGCTTGATTGTTTGTTTACTTACCGTGCATGGATGGCAATTGCCAAAAGTTGACCGAAAAGTTTTTTTTCTTTTTTAATTTTTTTAATCTCAAATGCGCTGTGTTGTTCAGAGTTACAGTACTGTAATCTAATTCCTTTGATTTGATTCATTTTATGCTTTAGCTTTAGGACATTATCTCACAGCTGAGTTACTCTAGTTAATGTACGTACGTTGGTATCCAATTTGCTTAAAATAATCCAAAATTATCCTCGTTGTAGCTTGTGATGTCATTATCACCAAAGACAAGGGCGTTTATCGAATCCCTGCATGCAGAAATGATAGGACTGAGGATTTGTATTCTGACCAAAGCACGCATTTGTGTTTTTTGATACATTGGTCATATGTAAATCCACCACTGATAATTGCTGTATAATGTCTGATCTTGCACGTGACTGGCAATTTGATGAGCAATATCTGTACTGCTTTGAGAATTGAGCTTCATTTTCTGTAGAAAAGAAAAATTGATACATATGTTGAAAGAACACGCAGTAGAGATGAATTTAATTCTGTTTTCGGTGCTCTTTTTGGTTGGCAGGAGTATTAATCATGTTTTTCTTCCTATGCATCATATATAGGGAAGCGTTTCATACGCCCAATCTTATCCAAATTAGTGTTGACAGTGGTAGCGGCTTCTAGGGATGTCGTTAAAATGAATAAATCATGTAATATTTTTTTTATTTATATATATATAAACTAATAATAATTATTGTTTATTGATATAAAAGACTAAGTACAAGTTTATTCCAGAAAATGATAAATTTAATTTCAATTAATGTAAAAACTAATTTAAAAATATATTATTATTTGTTTTTTTGTTGTGCATATATATATATATATATGTGTTAAATTCTTCCTCGATCTGTTAGTGTCATAGCGTTAGTTTAATTTCCCATGCTTCTTATCTAGGGTTTAATAGTTGTTGTTATTTAAGTTAGATCCTTTTGACAACTAGTTTTAAATGTTCGCTGAGAACTTTAATTTGATCAATGGAGGTTTGGAAGGGAATTATGACATTTGCAAGCCCTCACTTGACACTTCCTCGTTGTTTGTTTGCCTTTTTATTTCGATAAATCCTGATGTTGCCGGAAGTTGCTGCCATAATTAAATGGGAGTGATTGTGGATCCTTTGGTACATAAAATATTGTTAAATTGTAAATAATAGCCAAGTTTTTCATGGAACATTTGGGAATGGTTAAACAAGTCATATGTTGGTGACAGACGCTAGAGGTGCAACAGTCAAATTAATGCAAACTAGTATATCGTTGCTTATTTATGTTCTGTATAATCACTAATTGCTGCATATGATTAATTATTGGTTTCATTAAAAAAGATTGGACTACAAATTCCTAGAAGGAGCTCGCAAGTATCATTTCAGTCATGGTTATGTCAATTTGTCTCCAGCGGAATGAGTATCACTAGGCTAGATTACCCACTGCTTTGCAAATATATTCTTTTGTTACTGTTAGAAATGCATGATTTGTTTAGCGGTAATTGTATGGCAATAACCTTTCATTGTGAGCATCTCAACCTTTAGACTTTGGCACCTTATTCTTAGATAGCGACCTTATAGGGAATGAGTATCGCTAGGCTAGATTACCCACTGCTTTGCAAATATATTCTTTTGTTATTGTTAGAAATGCATGCTTTGTTTAACGGTAATTGTATCGCAATAACTTTTCATTGTGAGCATCTCAACCTTTAGACAGAAAATAGTTGGAGGTGCAAGAAGGAAAACAACTAGAAAGTATCAAATTTTGGCACCTTATTCTTAGATAGTTTACTACGTAAAGAAAAAAACTCCTATAATGAGAAATTTTATATTACTTTATAGATATGAATATGATTTTTTTTTTTAAAACTCTTTATTCCATGGATATTTTAAAATTTCTCCACCTAGACTAGGTGCACAAAAATACAAAATTGAATTGGATTCGTTTCTCGATTTCCAAAGAAATACCCCAATATGTGTTTAAACATCCAATTTCGAGCTCCAAAAGAAGCCTTTAGACTAGAATGTATGTGGACGTCGTAGGATTCTGAATAATCTTTCCGTGGACCTAAAACCCCTTTCGGCTGACAAAACTTAATTTTGTTAACTTTCTATTAGGGTTATTGCCTATGGTTTTCGAACTAATGTTTTCCCCCACTCCATAAGCTGATGCATGGGGTCTTTGAAGTTAAGCATAAGCACTTGGTGAAAAACCCCTTTTTTCTAAAAAAATCACGGACATTTTCAATCAAATGAAGAATTGTGCTCTGAATGATGGAAGCACGTGGGAGTGTTAGTTGTTAATCCAGTATAGGAACAGAAACTAAAATAATTACTTTCCTATTTTAAAATAAAAGTTTTGCACGGAAAAAAAAATGGCTTAAAAAGCATTTTAATCGTTTAAACAAGTAGTTTCGATTTTAAATTTTTGTATAGGTAAAAAACTCTTTGAGTAGTCTTTTTCGATTTATACATGCAACTGAATAATGAATGATTAATGTGAATTTTTATATCTGAAATATCTTAAAGATAAAAAATAAATAAAAATGTTTGGAGAGGAACCACAGGTACTTTTGGTGATAAGTATAGATGTCCTGAAAACTAAAGAACCCAAGCGAAACAAGTCTTGTCATTCTTCGAAGCGAAGGGTGATTTATAATGCACAGATTGAGGAAGAATAAAGGAAAAACATCACTTGGAAACCTCAGCAATCCCAATCCGTTGTATAAAGAAAAGACAAAAACATAGAACAAGCCATTGAAAATATGCGGCAGACGTGGACTTGTAGCCCAATGCATGGAGAAAGGATTTGGAAACATGCTTAAACGGTGGATTTTGGTCTCCAACATGGGCCCAGAACTCCTTACACATTTTAAGTACCCAAAAGCTCTATCTGTTTAATTAACGATGGATTTTAGACCCCAAAATGGGCCTCTATCTGTTTTAGCACTTTTAAGTACCCTATAAAGCTCTGCAAAACTTTTCCATGGATATCTCATAGGTCACGACTCCTTGAGGATCATAGGTGAAGGTCATTTTAAGTCAGGGTATCCATTATGGAAAAGGAAAAAAAAAATGGATGAAAAAAAAAGTGTCGCAATTTAATTACAAATAAAAAAAAATAATTGTAATCCTGAAGTTTAAAAAATTAAAAGTGATTGGCAATAACTAGTTGGGAAAAATTACTGTTTCCAGTCCACTAGGCCAGTTGTGTCCTTTGATATGATGGCTGCATGGGTCCAATCCAATGGCCCATTTATTATTTTATAATTCACTTAATAAGGCCACGTATCTGTTAGGTTAGAATATCAATTTTATTTTTGTTTGTTTGATAATAAAAATGTTTAATACTCGCTCTTGAGCATTAAGTTTTATCTAATGACTGCACTAGGCAGCTTTCTAAACATTAAGGCTCCCATCCTGTAGCCCATACCACAAGTGATGTGGGTTGGGCTTAGTGTTATCAAAGATCGGAACCGGCTAGAGATTCTATCCAATTCGGTCAAAATATATGAAACCTGGGCACAAAAGATGGACCCGACATCGAATGAATTGGACGTCACATAACATAACATAAGATGCTAGTGATGTGAAATTGGATCGTGTCTACTAATTAAGGCTCCCATCCTATAGCCCATACCACAAGTGATATGGGTTGGGCTTTTTATTGTCAAAGATCGGAAACGGGCAAGAGATTCTATCCAATAAAGTTGGGTTTTATTGCAAAATCTCAATCTATCAAGAAACTCGCATAAGCCTGCTGCCAATCGACTTGGAAATATTTGAATTTGGATTTTACACGTCTTCAAACCACAGCGTGGGAAATAAGTACCGGATTTAACGATGTACTTCTTATGTGAGGCATCGTGATACGTGCAGAATAAATGGAAATGGAACTGGGAGAAAACTTAATTGATTTGAGAATTAGGGATTTACCAATTATACATAAAAATGGGCCATTAATGTTTGGGTCGGATTTGAGTTTATTGTCATTGAGAGTGCATCCGAGCTTGGGCATTAATGTAAGTTTAGACATGCTAGAGTCATATAATATTTTTATTCAAATCTGACACGCTTGGCCCTTTCAGTAAGAATTAACAAATAGGTGGAACTGCGATGACACCCATTACTGAATCTGTCACATCTAAGCCTATATATAGCTCAAAAGAACATGCAACCTTCAGTTTTGCGGTAGCCTTAATTCCATTGTAAACATAGTGATAAAATCATAAAACAAGATGAGTATTCATATACCATTGGGCACGAAAAACTCATAAGACAGCACTTCTTCCACTATTACAATCAGGCAATTTGATGTATTCATATACCATTGGGCACGAAAAACTCACTCAGAAATCTCATGTAAGGTTCTGCTGCTTGTTACATGGCAGGCACGATGAAAAATCCAATACAAACCAGCAAGACCCAAACCCTAAAGGTCAGATGAAAGGATGAACATGACAAAACATCACCTCTAATCACTAACCTCTCCCGATGCTATGTTTTCAGTTACTTCCTCAATCTCAGAACCAGCTCCATCACGGCCACTACTTGTAAGTATACTATCGCCACTAGGAGAACCACTGGCATTGCTGATAGGTTCAGTGCTGCCCCCTGTTCCTGTTCTCAAGTTGCTCAAATTGGGGGAACTAGAACTAGAACCAGAAACACGATCTTCTAGTTGTTTTGGCTGGTTCAGGGCGCGACAGTGTGGGCAGTAATATGTAATGTATGGAAAATCTTCCTTCCTAGCAAGCCCTGGAATCCATAATACTAAAAAGTCATATTTGTCATCCCACAAAACACATCAACAGCAGCACTAGACATGACCATCTTTATGTGCACATGCACATGTGCACAAGTTGTGGTCGTTAAAATCTTGGTGGCTAGTATTCAAAATGCCGTGGTCGTTAAAATATTGGTGGCTAGTATTCGAAATGCAGTTCTACAAACATAGCAAGCCCATAAAGAGAAGATTGTTTCAAAATATACAATGGTGTGAAATAGTCCACTCACCATTGTGCATGTGGCAGTTGCCACATATCAGTGCATATGATTGTGTTGGATCCTCGCCCACAAGTAATGCTGCAATTCGAGCGACCCACCCCCCATCATATGCAGTATATCCTTGCGGATTGTAATGCTCAACAACAAGCTGATTATGCTCGGATGTCAGAGGACCTTCACTTTGCACAGAAAGTGGCATTTCTTCACCAGCATGCTGCACCGGAGTGCCCCCTGTACTACTGGACCTTGTGTGCACTTGCTTTCTATTTCTGAGACCACTAGCTGGCACAAACTCAACATCATTACTCTTCCCCATAGAAACAGTAGGCTTAGATTCATCTCCCACATACACTTTCAAGCCAGAATCTGCACCCAGCTTAGATGCAAGGACAGATGCAGCAGCTGCCTTAGCTGCCGGGTCAGGATCATATCTCTGCATACAAAAAGGTTTGCACCAATGTAATCAGGACAAAGAAACGGTTTGCACCAAGTAACAATTTGCAGATACTCAAAGAACGCTGTATGTTTTCAAAAGAATCAAAACGTGCTTTGTAAAGCTTGTTAATAACATGCCTTATAAGGTACAACACAACTGATTCCATTCACAAATAAATCCTTTCACCATTAACATTTCTAGCCCCCAAAACTCACGCAACACCCCAAGGCAACAAAAATTCTTGTATCCCATGATGGAAATCAGAGGAGAGTTAAGAGACTCAACTGAGTTCTATATCCAGAGCAATTAGGACCAAACCACGTGAGACACTTCTCACAGGGGCTGGAGTCAGTCACTATAAATGGTATCATAATAAACCAGTTCAACACATCAGATATGGGGGCACTGCAGCAGAGATGCTGCAGCGAAAGTGGGATCAATTTAACAAGGAAAGCAGGACTGTGCTAGTACAAGCAGCCTGAGCTGTCAAAACATCAACCTTTGTTTCTTCTTATAATTCAATTCATGTTCTTCAGGATCAATTTTGTTTCACTTGTTTGCTTCTCCAATATATCCTCATCCTTTTCTGCATTGCAGTTACTCAAAAAATGCAATGCCAGGGTTCCTGGCATATTTAGTAACGATATTTACTAACTTATGTGGCGAACAAAGCAACTGTTGCTATATCATCTAAATATAATTATTAAAATAAAATTACAGAAAGGAATACTTATGTGGCGTAAAATATTAGATCCATCACTTCTGCTATATCTTTTCTCCTACTTTTGGAACAATAACCATAGGTATTCACAACCTTTATGATTTTGTGGAACGTAACTATTTTGGTACTGCGTTTGGTAAACTCCAAAGAATTTTAGGGAATTAATACATAAGTCAATCTCAATGTTTCAACATAACTAAGGAATTCTCATCATATCCAGCCAAACTCTAGCTAATTAATCTTCACATTGCCTCATTTTCCCTAGCTTTGTTGATGCAGGCAAGTAAGCATACAATGCATAAATATTAATGTTTCCTTTGTTTGGTCCCTGAGAAAAACAGTATAGGTTGTTGTCTAGTTTTCTTAACACGACTTATGATTTTGAAATTGGAATGTCAAGCAAAAGAAGAATGGTATTTTCCTGATAGCAGTTCTTAAGAGTTCAATATCCACTTTGATGTACTCAAAGAGAGAAATTTAGGAATCATTCCTTAACATAACATTTCTTAATTCAAAAAAAAAAAAAAAAAAAAAAGCTTTCCCTGTAATGCTAGTCCATTGAGTTCTAGTTTAAATAAGTGACAGTCTTGATACTATCTGAAAATCAGTTTATTTAGGATATTAGAATACTAATTAGGAGTTTTCTCTTATTCATGATTTTCTATTTCCTGTTTGGTTTAGAACTGCAAAGGCTTTGTGCCTATAAAGAGAGTACCTATTCTATGTAATCCTCAGTATTCTGATACTTGTGATCAAGGGCTGCAAACCTAGATCAATTGTTATCCTTCTCTTTTCTCTAAAGGATATTTTCTTCCTTTCCTGTTCTTCGATTTCTTTCTTGCTACCGCACCTAGGGTTACAATTCAAAGGTAAAATGACAGTCCTAACTTCTTCTAAAACAAGTACCTAATCAAACCCAATTGTAGTCCTACAACTAAAATCCTTAATTCTCCAAATCCCACCTCACCATGACACTTAATTAGAGTGATATAATTTTATATAGTGCAACGATGGGAAAGGTAACTGATGTGATAAATGTTTTAATCCTAGATGATGTAGCAACTACCACCTAAGTTAGTAAGTTAGTGTTAGAAAGCATGTTAGTGCACCAAACATTACTCAACAAAAAGATCTTAGTCTCACATTCCATGAACAAGAAATTTGACAAACTTTTCAATTGCTTTCCAATTTAAGAACGACAAAAGGAGGACAAAAATTGCCCATATCCTCATCTTCCCAAAGGATTAAAAACATCCCAAGGGAGATCCCATGTAGAGCATAACAATACAAGAACAGCAACAACTTATTATTTTCACCTGAATGAGCTGCTGTGTTGTATAGTAATTTGTCTTCTCTTTAAGTTCGTCAATTTTCGCTTGCCTTTCAGCCCGGAGCCTCTCCAGAGTTTTTTTATCTCTGCGATCACCTGCATGATCATATGAGTACGTGTAAAACTAAAATACCAGTCAAGTTGAAACATAGTCAACAGAAACCTAAGATATGAGGTGCTGGTTTGGCATCACAGTGGGAAAGCATCAATAGGGATGCCACCCTAGAACAAATTAATGGATGTTACAATTCAACAAGCCTGGTCTTGCATATTAAGTTGTAGATAGAGAACAAGAGGTTCCTAAATGAACAAGGAAGAAAGAGAGAGACAAGCAAGAGGAGGGAAGATCTGAACGAGTAACAGTCAAATGTAGAGACCGAGAAAAGTAACTACAGTGGAAACAAATATTTGGCAAAGCAACAGTAATAGTAACACAAGATGCCAGTATTGAGAAAATCATAAAGTAATTGATGAAAGTAACTACATTTAGCAAAGCGACATTAATAGTAACACAAGATGGCAGTATTAAGAAAAACAGAGAGAAGTAATTGACAATATCGACTGCATTACAACAATAGAGAGAAGGACAAGATATATTGAATTATTGTAGAGCAAATGTAATTTAACAGAAATAATTTGTATGAAAGAGTTGGTATCAGTTAAGCCTGTTAAGTAAACAGATGACAAAAAAATTGTTTTGGAGGGAGGAGAGACTTACGCATCCTGGTGAAGCTTGCAAAGGCAGAATAAGCAAGGGATGATAAAGCAGGCAAAAGAAACATTGGCAAGACTCGAAAAGCCCTCATCTTCCAATTCAAATCCATTGATCTTGTAGTCATGATAGCATAACCGACTGCAATAACCTGGATGGATTTATTGTAACAATAACAGATGTTAGTTAGTGCCTAATATATTATGTAGCTAGCTAGTACAAACAAATAAATAAAGAGATTAGTTAGACCTCAAAAAGGACAGAGAAAACAAAGAGATGGCGAGTGATCTTCCTCCAAGTGCGGGATCTCCGATTCATTCTAGATAAAACAGCAGCCTCTTCCTTAGAAATGTGTTGCAGTCTCTTCTCAAAATCGTCACCGTGCGGTCTAAAAACAGCCTTCCAAATACGGGATAGAATACCTCGACCGCTGCCGCTGCGCTTCTTTTTAACGGCAAGTGAATCGGGATGCTTTTCACTATCGGCGGCGGCTGTCTCCATATTTTCCTCCCCGCTCATAATCCTTGGCTATCGTCAACTGTTCATGGAATACAGACACCAATTTATTATTATTGTTGTTGCTGATGATGATGATGATATAGAAAAATTGGAAGAAGAGAAGATTAGAGATCTATAAATAATAAACAATAAATAGCAGACAGAGAGAGGGAGAAGAAGAGATAGAAACCCACCCGATCTAAAGCTCTTTTGAAATAGATTATAGTTTCTTCTTCCGCTTCCGCTTCCTCTTCCTCTTCTACTGTTGTGTATTATTTATTATGTATGGCTCCTTCGTACTGTTCTCTGTCTCTGATTTTCTTCTTCTCTTTCACTTTCTCTTTCTGTAGAGAGGAGAGGAGATAAGGGGATGACACAACGCGGAAATAATTAAAACAAATAATAATAATAATGTTGAAGTCAGCAGGAGGAGGAGGAGGAGGAGCAAAGTATCGGTCTTACCGTGCGTTTACAAATGAGAATGGTGGTGGGTCAGTGAGGGACAGGAGGAGGGATGAGCGGTGAAATGAATGCGAAAGAGAAAAGTCCCCTTCCTTCCTTCCAATTTGGCTTTGGTATTTTTGCTTTAAAATAAATAAATAAATAAACAAATCAACCGCTTTAGTGAGTGTATGTAGAAAGAAAGAAGTGCTGCCAGTCACCTCGATTACTTGGCTTCTTTTCTTTTCTTTTCTTCTTCTTGGATCCATTAATGAATGCTATTTCCACAACTACAACAACTAACTTCGACCCTACGCAAAACCCAATTGCCCCCAGTCAACTCTACAATAACTACCTTGTAAAATAATAGCGAGATTAATTGTTCGATAGTCAAATGAAAATTGATATTCCAATTTTAATTTTTTTTAATTCAAATATTATAGATAGACGTTGTTGATCAAAATTCGGATAACATAACTCAATAAATAAAAAACACGTAAATCTTGTCATTTTTTCCCACCAATTTGATATGGTAAAATTACAAATTATTTTCATTCCTAAATTAAAACAAAAGGTGAGATTTGAAGACAAATCTCGAATCATTTAATCACCATCTTTCCTTACAAATCTTGTTTCTTCCATCTCTCTATGTTTCTTCACTCTCGTTTCATTTAGATAGTTTTTTTTTTTTTTTTTTTTTGGTTATTTTATTATTACATGTGTTTAAAGATTTAATTACAACTCCAAAAATAGACGTGATCCTAAAGTTTAAAAAATTAAAATGAGATATGATCAAGATACTAGCCCGATGATGGTAATCATTAGTTCGGAAAAAAATAACTGTCTCCAGTCCACTAGGCCAGTTGTGTTCATTGATATGATGGCTGCATGGGTCCAATCCAATGGCCCATTTATTATTTTATAATTCACTTAATAATAAGGCCACGTATCTGTTAGGTTAGAATATCAATTTTATTTTTGTTTGTTTGGTAATAAAAATGTTCTCATGCTCGCCCTTCAGCATTAAGTTTTATCTAATGACTGCACTAGGCAGCTTTCTAAACATTAAGGCTCCCATCCTATAGCCCATACCACAAGTGATATGGGTTGGGCTTAGTGTTATCAAAGATCGGAACCGGCTAGAGATTCTATCCAATTCGGTCCAAATATATGAAACCTGGGCACAAAAGATGGACCCGACATCGAATGAATTGGACGTCACATAACATAACATAAGATGCTAGTGATGTGAAATTGGATCGTGTCTATTAATTAAGGATTCGAGAAATGTGAGGAATATATGGTGGGTGTGTTGAATTGATAAAATTTGTTTCCGAGGGGCTCTCTTTCCTTCCCTTTGTCTGCCCTTGGCCTTTGGCGCCAACCAGGCAAAGCATTTCCCGCCGCCGCAATTTTATTTTTGGCGGTGAAGGAGCAAATGGAAATGGAAAAGGAAAAGGAGTGGTGGGAAGGCGGCGGCGGCGGCGATGAGTGTCGTCTTCTGATTGCACCTATACCTCGGCCCACCACAGGAGGTAATTACTTAGTATTATACTTTTGTTTTGTACTTCTACCGAGTCATTGAATTGAATGCAGTCGAACGTATTGACTTTATTTCTTTTTTTTTGTTTAATAATAACACACTTAAGTGAATTGAATTGGATGGGTGTCATCTTAATTATATTGATAACAAATTTACAACAGACGGTGGTGCTGCTGCTGGTGGTAGTGGCGGTGGTGGTGATCTGGGAATTAATGGATGTTTTTTATCGCTTCGACATCCGAAATCGGGTAAATATATATTTTTTGTTCATCATTTACTACTTCTAATGCTGCTACATAAGTACTTATCAAAAAATTCATCTTCTGTCAGGGAATGCGACAAGCTATCTCCTTAGTAATGATAACGAGGGACCAGTGCTCCAAGAACTTCACTGGTTCAAGCAATCTTATACGTCTTGGTTTCTTGGTGATTATGTTTCTCAAGGTAATTACATATATATACAATTCTTTGCTTGAAAATGTACAGCCTTACCTGCCTCATAATCATGTTGCCTACTGGATGCATTACATACACGATACAAGATAAATCATAGATATCACAACTTCCAGACACTGGACTTAATGTAAATTCTTCATGCTTTTCATCAAGGCGTTGCATGTGCTTCATCTCTATATCTGTCCACATACTTCCGCTCAACCTTGCCAAGGCTTGTGCTTGCATACGAAATCATCTTGGTTCTCCGTTGTTCTGTTATTGGTCAGTATCAGATTGATGAATGGAACTTACTAGGAGCATTTACAGAATCTTTCCTAGGTGGGTTCAGCTGTAGTCTGGCTTTCAACTCCCCACACACTTGATACAAGCATCCTATATATATATATATATATATATATAGGAAAACTTCAACCCATATAGTTGATATTGTATATGAATTGGTTATTTAATAAAATAACACTAGTTGCTATTTGGCACTCACGATTCTAATACTAAATGATATAATGGTCTGCTTTCTGTTTGTCTCGTTATGTCTTCATTTCTTCTTTCTTCATACAGATGGGGGCCTATACACTGCCACTCCTGTTGATCCTGTTTTCATTTTGTTACCTATTTTTGAGGAAGCAAGAATGAAGGTACATCCAATTGTGTTATTTGATTCTTGTTCCCATCATTGGGATCAAAAGCAAGCCTTGTTTTTTCCTAGTTATAAAATTTCTTTTGCGTTCAGTAATAATCTACTGATTGCATTTGAAGGAGGGACATAATTTTATTCAACTGATGGAAACCTTATAATCAATTCTATGCATGTGGCTATGTTCTCTAATTTCTGGAAGAAATTAACCTGCAAACTACAGTAATAGATCGGCATGACAACTAGTTCTTAGGGTTTTTATTCTGATTATTCTGGAACATATGCTTAAGAATGTTAAATCATTTCTGCATGGCCACATATTGTCATTCTTCCATCTTTATTTAAGAAAACTCTTTTTTCCTTGTATGCAGAAGAGGGATGATCTAGGGAAGTTCAGGCAATTAGATGAGATACTATTCATCAATGACTATCCTGGGTATCAGCATCTAATGTCCATTGCAGAGAACTCTATGAAAGCAGTTTGTGAAATCAAAGGTCGTCTACTACCTATGTTCTTCTGGTGCAAATCCTAGTGATTAATGAGCTGAAATATATAAAGTAAATCTTGCTATTTTATAGTATGAGGTTTGTTCTTTTCATAGACCAACTATATTGCTATTCTGATCTAGTAGTACGGAAATAATGAACCCCTTATAATTTTCTATTCTTTTTTTGTGCAAACCAATTAGGATTTCGAAATCAGTTGACGCAGTATGTTTTTCTTAGGCTATTAGCCTGACTAGATTATGTTGAATTGAGGATGCATGCGTCCCTGAGTAGTTAGGTCTTATGATTCTTAAACTGTTGGTCCTAATTCCAAAGAAATGTCTGCCTCAAGCGATGCATGACAGCTATCAAGTATGATGCTAGACATTGTCTGCTTATGGCAAGCATGCTATGACCGTTTGTTTAATTGATTTTTTTTTTTTTAATACTGCAGCTTCTGTCAAAATTGTAAGATGTTAAATTGCTTTTGTTTGATAACGCTTTCTCTTCTTATTCAGAAATTGGATCTTCAAAGTTTTTTCGGCTGGATGATTCAAAAGTTTTAGTTTGGTTGTATTGCAAGGTCCGTCTTTATCTGTTTAAACTTAATCTTACTGCTGGGCTTTAGACATGTCAAGAATTATCTTTCAGGTCTATAAGGTGGTTGACTAGCCATGCCTACTTCTGACACAATTGGACTGATCATAGCAACATCACTTAACTTGAATATATCGCTCGTAATTATGCCAGTTACTTTCCCCTCTGATAATTTTTTTTGGAAAATAATTTTCTGTGTCTCTAGAGTTGATTCCTATCGATTTAAGTGAAAATGCATATAAGGTTCATAAAGAATTTTCTTTCACCTGAAATGAGTTTTTTATACTCTTTAATGTCCAAGATCTGTACGTGCAGGTATTCCAATTAAAAGAGGCTCTATGCTCATTGGACAAGAACTATGCTGCTCAAGACGAGAAACATACATGTATGCCCTTAACTACAAATGATATATGAACTTTCATGATTTGAATTCACCTTCCTCGACACATGCACATTGGGAAATTCATGAACACGCACACACACATAAGTATGAAGCATGTACATAGGTATACTCATGGATTTGGGTGGTGGTTTTTTGGTGCCATTTTTTGTCCAGTCTAACAATCTGGACTTGTGGAAATTTGCAAACTTGACACAAACCACCAAGACATCAAAACTGCTGGTGTCATGTCAAGTGTGGTCGGCTTAGAATAGATGTGGTTTTAGATTGTGCCAAAAAAAAAAAAAAAAAGGGTAAGAGAGGCTATGAGATTTAAAATATCAACCTAATCCTCCCAAAAAGCAATGTTAAACCAAACACTGTATCTTTCCAATCATAATTACGATAGATGATGAGATCAGAACAAGCTTCTGAAAAAAAAAAAAGGTTAATTTTTAAGAGCCAAAACTTTAAGCCAGCACGCAATTGACAAATCGTCACTAATTTACCCAATCAAAAAGAGATAAAATTAGGAAATAATATATAACTGATAGATTTAGCGTAATTAAATTAGGTAAGAATGTACAATTGAAGCAAAAAATAGTTTTAGGAATTCTGGCTTAAGAAACTGATTTGGAGTGATATGTTGAATAGGTTGATCTTGTACCCAAAAAAAAATCAAGATATCACGTGGAAGATCCAGAGAAATCTTTGGTTATCATTAACTTACTTCTTTTACTGGTGCAGTAGCTGAAGTGGTTTCAATAATAGGGGAGTACGTGAAGGAGGAGCCTTTGTTGATGGTTCTGCGTGACCGTTTGAAGTATTTATTCAAATTTGAACTCTTATGAAGATATGATTATTTTTTCCTTAGTTCAATAAACTAGCATAGTATAGAATGATGAACTCCTTTTGTGTGAAATGTGTTCCTTTATCTGCCTAACCTGGTCAGTTTATGGGATTTGATTGCAGATTAAATTTACTTGAGGCAACTAGTAAATTGCCAGAAGCTGAAAATTTTCTGACCAATGCACAATATAATCCAGCTCCTTCCAGTTTGTTACAGGTACGGATTATAGCGCATCAGATCCTTCACTTGTGCAAATTAGGTAGCTGGTTCGACATATTTTTGTGCATATCTGGGAATGGCGCAGGCTGTCGTCCACTTTCCTATTTGTCTATTTCCCATAATATATAACTTGGGTTAGCTCTAAAAGTTTTTGATAAACTACGAGTTGAATATGCAATTTGCATAGGCCACCTTGTAACATTGCCATTATCACATATCTATTTACTTCTAGTCACGCTAAGCCCAACTGAACATATCTGTAAATTGTTTATTCTTATTGAGATGGAAAATTCTTGGTTGAAAAAAAAATAAAAATTAACGAGGGCATGATGAGAATAGAATTTCATGAATATTTGATGTGGATGGGATGTCTGTGGAGTAAAAGAGGGTTGACAGAGCATAGCTTGTATAAAAAAAGAGACATTAGGGAAAGAGAGAAGCTATTAGGATAAGCTACGCATGTCAGAACTTCACTTCTGGGGTTCCTGCTGACTGTTAGACTGATTGTTATGCCTCTTTTTGTCTGGCAGGAAAAGGGTAGGAGTGAAGATAAAACAAAGAGAAGTGGAAAGCAAGCTAAAAAGGCTAAAGTGGAGACAGAATCAAGGAACATAAGAGAAATGTTTAGCAGGGCTTGCCGGAGAAGCTAGATTGTAGTCTCTTATTAAAAGATCGGAAGGAGAGAAGACAGTGGATTTTGGTGTATTCACTATCTGGTTGTGACAAACAAACTCGTCAAGGCTTGACTAGTGTCTTGGCATGTGAGTGCATCGTCTTGTACAATAGTGTCATGGTTTATCATTTATGCTTAAGCACTTAATGTTGATTCCTGGCGTGCCTCTTACTTTCATAAAAGAGAAAAAGAAAATAAACTTTATCAGATTGGATAACCCTTTTGGACTGGCTTCTTCCGGTTGACAGGAAGGGCTCGCAAACTTTATCAGTCATACTCATACGTATGCACTAAAAGACGTGTCGCTTCATGTAAAGATGGGTCTCATTTGTGGAGTAAATTATAAATTAATCCGCCTCGTTTAGAGAAACAGAATAATTTAGTCTTTTCATTAATTTTTCATTTGATTTTTGGTTGAAGAAAGAGAAACAAAGTAAGTGAACGAAGGAAATAAGACATAAAAAAAAGATAATTAAAAAAAATATTAATTTAATAAAAAAGTAATGAAATGATTAAATTGACAGAATTAAAATGTAAAAGATTGCATAATTAATTATTAAAACAAGAGAACTAATCAATTCATTTTGCAAAACTAGGGACAAATTTATAATTTACTCCTCATTTACGACATTACGTTACCTTGACACAAACTCAGAGAGCTATTAAGAATTGGATTTCTAAGAGGTCTCGGGTTCAAACCTTGGGGACGATTGGCGTGAATTTTCTCCTTTTGTATAGTCTAAAGATCATTAGACCTCGTCATGTAATCAAACAAAAAGGATAGTTAATCCCAATTTCCGTGCAAGACTAGTCGTATCCGTGCGTACATATGTACATTAGCCAGCAAACAATCTCTTCTACAAAGCCCTCGATTGATTGTCCAGCGGAACAGTTCGAGCTCGAAAGACTTGATGGGCCTCGACAGGTATTCAAACTTTTGCTCTGCTTGGCCCAGTTTAAATCAGCCTGAATTCAGCCTATTACTTATATATGTAATATGTTATCTTACAACCTAACTGACCCACACCAAAGCCCATTATGTCCATTCAGCTTCGTAAAATATTGGCACTTGCCATCCAAAACCAACTGAAGAAAAAGAGTTGAAACTACTGTAGATGTATGGGTAGCTACCCATATGACCCTTGGTGATTGTCCATGCGACGACAGCTCACGATGCAGCCTGAACAACAAGGCCATGATAAAAAAAAAAAAAAGATCCCATGACCAAGTCTAATTAGTTTGTAAAAACCCATTTGCCAAAATCGTATAGTGGCAAACCATTGTCTTTTCAAAAGTTAGGTGACACGGACCATTCTGAAATTTCATTATATTCTACATTTGACGCAGCCTGTAAGTCCCACAATAGCTCGCTTGATGAGGGATCTTGGTATATTCCATCCACATTTGCTTAAGGGCAGCACTATTAAAATGTTCTGCATCCCGTCGACCATTGCTGACAATCCTTCCTGTCCATGATATTTCAAGGGATTTGCTGCAGTGCTCCTACCTTCATGACAATGAACGCTTCTGGAGAACTAAGGAACAGCCTAGAGACCAACCCAATATGAACGACCATTGCTGTTGTGAATAGCTGATGAGTTAGGAGATGTCACACACCATTCATACCAAACCTGCATCATAACATGTCATTTCAAACTACAAATTTTGAGAATGTGTGCATGCTTGAGCATCGACATGGATCCAGGGTTTACTAATGACGTTTTATGCCTTAAGTGATGTCAAGCAATAAAAAGCTGTACACAATAATAATAATAATAATAATAATAAGCAACAACAGTTACGAAACCATTTATGTAATTTACCTTAGAAGAACCACAACAGCGCCAAAAATGTACTTCTAAAGGAGAACCAGGCTTTACGCACACTGGTGTCCTAAGCGGGAAGAATATTGCAAACCTGGAAAATAGACAATCACCAGTTTACTATCATATGGAGGCACAAGTTGTCATATTTTAGACCTCACCAGTTATCATGACCAGAAAAATCAAAAAGTTAATTTGTACGAAATTGAAAAACATTCTTTCAACACTATGAATGCCAAGCAGATACAAAGCAGGTAAGTATCTTGAAATGAGAGAAGGGAATATGAAAATCATAATTGCAAGCAACCAGTGAAAGGAATACAGAATTCATATAAGCTCACTGAACTCGTAAACACTGTGGATCAGTAATTCATGCATAAAAATCAAGCAATCAAACGCTGTACCAGCTGAACATGTTTGGTGTTGCCATTGATGGTTCAATGCCAAGATGAACATCTTTGTAAAGCTCTGCATCAAAATAGCCAGCAAATCCTGCAAAAAAAGAAAATGTTACCAAGGCTTTTAAGAAACATTACTTCAAATGCATTCGGCAGAAATGATTGCAAGTAGTAACTTTTCTGTTGAAGAGAAGCAACTTTATATAGGATGCCAGAGGATGATTGACCCTCAAATTCAGTGCAATATTGGAATTATAAGATGGCCTACTGTTTAAATTTTCAAAGTCCAACTCCAACTGCCTGGCCGGTTCTATATCCATCAGATCTTCACACCACTAAGCAAAATGGAATATCCACTGCAATTAGTTATTTCCCTACCACATTTCTACATCATGTATGCATGTGTGCACTCAAGTTTGTATTTGTGTGTTCTTAACTTAGATAAATTTAGGCATAAATCTAAGGAAATTCAGTGGTTTCATTCAATGTCCAATTTCTTACTTGTCATGCACTTGAGGGTTTCAAGATCATACTCCAAATAAGATAAAATCAAATTAATAGGAGCAGAAATCAAGCTTCCAGAACTGGTATCAGCTGATAACATTATTGCACAGTAAAAACTATATGCACAAAATATGAACGAGACTTGGTTACAACATACCATGAACCATAGCTGATCCAGTGTCACTTGGTATCTCAAACTGCAACCTTTTGTACCGTTGATTGCTTTTTTTGGTCGAGTTATCTGGATGGGTGAAAGTAAAGACCTGTACAGGAAAAGATTACATGAGCAGCTGAAAACAATTGATCTTAGATGTTTTCTCAGCTGAAGAAAGATCAGAAGGAACAATGCAGGAAATACATAGTTTGCATAAGCAGTCATCACCTAAGACTTCATTAAATGCTAAAAATCATGAGCCGATCAGATACAAGGCCTAGCATGCTAGCAGTCGGCACATCAATTTCACAAAGCCATGGACCTAAACATTGCCCATGTATCAATTAGCATGCTGCGCGGATAGTGACTTACAGGTTGGGAAGGAGTGAGCCTTGCTACATTATGCAGTTTGACAACATATGCAGTCTCAAAGTGTACAAGATCTTTGTTTGACTTAACCTGAGCAAAAATCACAATCCACTCACATGATTCCAATTGACACAAGAAAAAATATGGATAAAAAAACAAATGAAAAAGGCATACATCATTATATAGCTTCGCAGTTGTCACTGGTTGGATAAAGCTAGTGTACCTGGAAAAGAACACATCGAAAAAAGAAGCATCACACTTCACAGTTCAAATTTAAATTCCCAAAGTAGTCTTCATGCTGGCTGCCAAGCCAAGAATCCAAATATATTTCAAGGATCATCAATGTAGAAGTTTAAGGATGTAACCTAGAAGTTTAAGGATGTAACCACTAGGTATTAACATATACAAGGCATTGCTGGCAGAAAAATGATCTGGCTTAGAATAAGAATCCTGTCACATAATGGTCTGATTTAGCTAAGCACCTTGTCTTTGGCGCAACTGATTACAAGGTTCTGGGAGAGAACCCCATGTCTGTTCCCATGGCCAAATAACATTTGACACTTTAACTTGGATCCATTACAAGGCTCGCTGGAAGAAAAACCCCTTCTACACCAAAATGGGTGGGATTAACTGTTCATCAAGTACACCCCCAATAGCGCAAACACACATTCACCATTGTACATTCATCACAACAGATTTCAATCCGAGCTCTGAACATTTATGTATCATTGTATGGTGCTCAGTAAACTGATGATAATGCGTCAAGATAAAAATAAAGAGAATGAGTTGGCATCAATGAGGCCCATAGGGGTCTAGGGAGAAAGATCACTTATTCAGGCTAATAACTTCCAGTTGTTCTAACCTTCATATATGCTGAACATAGTTGCAGGCAACAGGTAATTCACCATAACTTTGTACAAAATAATAGAAGAATAAGCTTTAAAATAGTTCAACAACAAAGAAGATTTTACATACGATGATGGTATTGAGATTCCATCTTGCTTCAAGAACCTTTGAGCACCATCAAGGCATTCAGGTGACAGCTCATTGTCACCAAAAGAACCCAGTAATTCACTAACCTGGAAAGCAATCAAACAAAGGCAAGTATATGAGCAGGTAATCACTAGTATTCAGAAAAATATATCCAACAGATTAACCACAAAATATAGTTACATACCAAGATATCAGCTTTCTCAGGAGCATCCCAGTAACGCATATCACAAGAAATTATGGTAACAATATCTTCCCACCCTTCTAGCTTAACTAAACTCTGTTGCAACAAATACCAAGTTACTTCTGAGATAGAAAGACAGATAAATATGATGAAAGAGCACAAATGTTACACATTTCTGAACAGTAATATAGATTGGATCTGTTGTTTGTTTCTTATGAGGAACAGTTCATCTCCTGAGAAATCCTCTAGACCTAATGATGAATATCCAAGTTGATATTGTAAAAGACTTTCAATGCAGAAATAGTTTGCACACTAGAGCACAATATTTTTGGTGAACATAATCTGAGACATAATAACTACCATCTGGAACTCACATGAAGTGTGACAACTGCATTGGGATTTTTCTCCACAGCATAAACTTTGAGCTTACGTCCAGTTTCTTCAGCTGCCTATAAACCATCAAAGTGAATGATGAAACATGGATAAGAACAACCACAGGTTGCTAGTTGCAGAAGGCATAGGAAAAAACCTGCAGTGATGCCCTCACAAGAGGTCCACGTCCTGCTCCAACAACCATCAGTACCTAACCAAAATTTACAAATACATAAATCTTGTCAACTTAACATCGCATGTAAATCATGTCTTATGCGGTATTAAATGTGGTGAGAACATAGACACCAACAAAAGTAGAACGAGGGGTGAGAACACAAACACCAACAAAATTAGAAGGGGGCTGTCAACGAAAATAGAATTTGAAAAGGCAAATGGTAGCTTACAGTGGTTGCACTAGTTTCTTCATAAGGGACTCTGTCCAGCAAAGCTTTACTAATTGCCCTTTGGTACTACAAAAATACAAGCATGTGATATAAAATTATCAAAACTGATAATCCGTAGATGGATGCTAAATTAAAGCTTTATCTTTGGCCCATTTATCAATTGGAGTATTATAATCCACACCAATCTCTAGGTTTAAATATCTGCAATGAGAATCCACCTAGTACAGTAAGGCAGAATTGTCCATGATTGAAAATTCAGAGATGGAGAATATTTCATATATGCATCTCACAGCATGTCTTGCCATATATATGAAAACAAACTGATGGACATTTAATGTTAGAAATTCAATATTATGTTAATTTTAATCATACCTGGATATATTTCATTGAGTCTCTTTCGAATGTCTCATATGTTTGGGCTTCTAGATTATCCATGAGAGGCTGAATTACAACAGCAGAAGCACCCAATTTATTATTTGAGGACAATGCAAGAAGTCACCAAAAAGGAGAACAATGTGAAGATTTCATTTTGAACAAAATGTTTGCATTGAGAAAGAATATTTAGACAACCAGATAAGCCATCTGCCATTGCCAGGGATAGAAAAGAACCTGTAATGGAGACTGTAGGAAATCCCTATAACCAAGCTGGCATAAGAGATTGAAGCAGTCAAAAAAAAAAAAATCTCAAAAAACAAAAAAGAATAGCAGTGGAAGAAAGGAAAGTAATCATCCATTTCTACCAGGGGAAATGATGTGGAATGGGGTGTGCTAGTGTGTGTATGTGGAAGTACAAGAGAAAGCAAATTACTTCGAAACGTTCTTGCTCAGGAAGGGGATCCATCCTTTGGAAGAGATAACCAACATAGTCCAAATATGGCCTGAGGGGATGTCTTTGCACACCTATAAACAGAAGATGCACTGAGGCTGTCTACTATTGAAAATGTAAGTGTTTATGCATGCACACACACAAAAGAGTGACTGTTGTATATAAAGAGAGGGGTGCAGGAAGAACATACACAAAGAAAGAAGCATAAGAGTGGCAATTATACATATGAATACAACTTAAACTTGGACAGTAAACCTTATAGTAACTTACTTTCACCATTATTATCAAAATTATTGGCTGCTAAATCTGAACTTGGCCTGGGAATACTGTGTACAGGTTTGCCAGAAATAACAATCTGAAAAGATATTTCCGAGGACCATGGTTAGTAAATTTGCATGCTGGTAATTATTTGTAATATCTGTGACCACTGATAAAAAATATAAGAGAGGAAAATCAAACAATAACATCAAAATATACTGGATTAAATGTCTCAGGAAGTTTCCGAGTAATAGTTGATCTTCTATGCAACAAGCAAAATGTGTGTAGGTATCCCAATACCAATCACCTTAGATAAATCATACCAGGTCATTCAGTGGCATGACCACAGTAAAGTATCTGAAACTCAGTTCAGAGTATGGAAGGTTGATGTATAAGAGTAAGAGATGAAATACTCAAACTACTTGTGAGATATACTGTGTAAACTATTTGTGAGATAAACTGTTACTCAACATGGAGGGAAAAATATTAAAACTTGTAAAAAGACAGTAAGAAAAAAAAATCATTGAGCAATGAGGTTGAGAAAAATTTCTTCACATACCTGTATTGAATGGTTAAAGAACCGAGTAATCAGCTTCTGATGGCGCTTTGACAGGCATGGATAACCCCGTCCATTTGTTAGGAAAGACTGGTAAATTAAAAATGGCACTATTTAAAACCCACATGATCACAGGAGCAGCATGCAATAAATTAGTTTATCACATGGAAACCAAAATATACTCACATCCTTATTAATTATGGCTGCTGTAACAGTTTCTCCAAACCAACGGCCAAGTGAGTTCACTGAAGGCAGGGAACTCCTAGAGAACATGTAATTCTTATCACAATAAAGTAAAGTTGGTGAAAATTCTGGAAACCATTAAAAAATAATGCAAGAGAGAACTCACAAAATATCAAGTGCAACAGACAGCTGACTGTGATGTTCGCAGAGAAGACGAAATGAATTCCATAATTCCCAGGAATCAATCTGTGCATGAAAAGTAAAAAAGGAAGTTCAGCAAAATAAAGTGTTCTTTTGAGTTTTCAGGAAAATAATCCTCTCAGATCACACGGTATTCCATTAAATTTTTTTTAACTAAGCCAAATTGTTAGACCCTGATTAAAATTTTAAAGCAGGAATGTAGACCACACATGAAGAGATATTATGTGGGAATAGGAGTCAATAAGCTTTTTATATATAAAAAATACATACAAATACCATTGAGACTTGTAACGAATATCGCAGATTTAACAAAATGAAAGACAAAAACAAAATAAAAAGGGATGCCGCTTACAAAGCTAGTTGAGTTTGCATCCATAGCATCATCATCAGTCTTCACCAGCGGAATCCTAAGCCACAACTTTAATAAAGAAGTGATGAGAATAGAGACAACAACAAGGAAAGAGAGCAGAAAGGGAAAAAATATTAGGAAATAGATTTGGATTAAGAAAGGTACCTGCACATTGTTCAGGCCCAGCAAAATCTGATTTACACACCTAGCATAGTTAGCACAAGATGCACCCTTGGGAGAAGGAAGAATGCATGCCTGCAGCAGACAATGAGAGCTTTAACACCATGGGCTCTTAAAAAGGCTTTTCTGAAAGAACCATATCTAGAGCATGAGAAATTACCACAACACAAGCATTAAAGATGAATGAATACAAGGAATAGGGATAGATATTGCAAGAGGGGGTAAATCAGAAAAATGCAACAGCTTGTGCCTTTTGTTTTCTTTAGGACAGACAAAATTTGAAATATGACAGCCATTGGACGTGTTGAACAAAAAAAAAGTTGTCAGCATATAGAATTTGTCTTGTACAAACTAATTTCTGTATGCTCATACACCTCCAATGACTGCCTTCTTATTGACAAGGAACAGAAAAGGGTTTGGTTAGAAGTCAAAGGGTTTGGTTTCTCGAACATTTGTCATGCTGTATGAAGGTCATGGAAACTGAAGTACATTGCAACCTTGGAAGAATGAAGTAAGGAAGCAATTTAAATTTCAGGATTGAAAATCACCTGTATAGAGAGATGATTAGCCCATGCTATTTCTTGCTTCAATGTGGTTTCAGAATCCATCCGAATAGTTTCATCCTCGGAATCCAGGTCAATCCAAGAACTAATTTTTCCTGAGGAAAATCAAAAACCCAACATAGGAGATAGAGAGAGTTGGAAGGGATGCGTGCCTGATTAGATTAGGAAAAAAAAAAAGGGGCAAGAAAAGGAAGCGCAAACTCAAAAGGCGGGGCAGAAAGAGTTGCTACCAACAACATGACTGCTCCACTGAGAGGGACTCAAAACTAGGTCTGATGCAGCAAATGGCAGAACCCCATCTTTTTCCAACAAGCTGGGCCGATATGTGGGATTCATCTGAGCCAGCCACCAGGTTGCATAGATATAGTCACAATTATTATTAATATTATTATGCAATAACCTCATAAAACTTTAGATGTTATGTTGACAGCCTAGCCTAGGAGTAGAAGCAGCAATAAGAATAATGCTGCCTGCAAGTGTGCAAAAGAGCAACGAGCAGAAGGAAAGGCCGCCAAAACATCAATGTAGGTGACACTACTACCATTCACACAGCACAAATAATATGTAAATGGTTAACTAGCCACCAAAAATCAAATCATATGATATTAAACACACGCAAAAGGAGAAAGAGAAAGGGACGAACCAAAGGTGCGACGACGAAATCAAAAGCACCGGTAGAGAGATTAAAATTGAGAAGCTGAGGCATGTCATCGTTGAACTCTGTCTCCACTCCGCAGTATCGAGACTGACTCTTTTCAAATCCAGCTTTTGTGCCCAGCGGCATTTTGCTTCTTCTTCTTTCTTCTCCTCCTGCTGCTCTTCACCACTAATTGTATTGCAGTTGGTGATCAAAATGAACAAAGACCTTTTATTTACTATTAGTTCCTTAGGGTTCTAGTACGGTTTCTTTTTAGAAAAAAAATTCATGTCACTAAAAGGAACCGGAACGCACCCACCGCCAGAGTTTTATTTCTATCATTTTTATTTTTATTTTTCTTATAGTCGATTTGGGCTCTTTGAGGCCATTGCATGTCTTCGGCCCATCCTAGTCTGAGCCCGATGACCCAACAAATTTTCTTATAGTCGATTAGGGCTCGTTAGGGCCATTGCATGTCTTCGGCCCATCCTAGTCTGAGCCGATGCCCCAACAAATGCCAGCCCAGTTTCTTTCCTTCTTTTTCAAGCTTGTTTCGGCATTTGCCATGGATCAGGTTAGGACCGTTCTCACTTGCACATTTCTTTTTTTTTTTTTTTTTTGCCTTTATCTGATTTTTGTTCTTAAAAACTGCTTGGGCACCCAAAACAATTAATTAATTAATGCTCCAGGAAAGAAATTCTAGTCTCCTCTTCGAACCCCATGCACGGTTTCAACCAAATATCGGAGTATGATTGCAAAATAAGCGACCAAGTAAATAACCAAAGTCACCAACGTAGACAGCAGCTTATTAGAAATTGGAAGCAGATACCAAAACACGTAAACTTGGAAAATAATTTAGAAGCTACTGACTAATCCACAATGAGCTAAAACTAAAACATCATACTTGGTCGAAACTACAACAGCTTTCTATTCAATAAAAGCATAATTTCTATTTGCGTAAAGCATAGAATTGAGAAACTATTCAGTATACCAAGAGTTGTACTCTCTCCTCTTCCATAAACATGAGAGACACCATGAAAATTATTCTCGAGTCTCACCCTTATAAGATAAGAGGGAAGCACAACTTCCGGTGCACAGAATGATTCCTCTAGAATTAAATTGAAATCCGCTAGAATTGAAATCCAAACGATATTTAGTATTTACAATTAGGAATTCCATGTTATAGTGTAGCTTCAAGGTGCTAACTGGGGATTTATTATGTGACATGGAAATGTGTAAACCCGAAGAGAGAATTCAAGTCATTCTCGACGACACAACAACAGGCTTTATGCAGCGCCCTTGAGATGTGCAGGTGCATCAAGATCACCTTCAAGCACCTCACCATCATGTCCCCCCTTGAAATCCTTTTCTGTTTCATCAAAGTAGTCCTCCCGAGCATTGTCTGCTAGCATGAGTGCAACTAACCAGAAGAGGGCTGAATCGAGAGAGACAAAAGCACCGCCACCAAGGAGACCAGTCTTAGCGGTGGGGCATTGAGTCTCAAGATTGTGATGCACATTGTGACTCAAGTGTAAGTGCTCTTGAAGTGTTGGCCACAGTATCAATGCTGCTGCCAATCCTGCTGTAAACCTGGTTTGAGTTTCACAGGACACATCATTTTAGAGAGAATCATCTGGGGACCAACACAAACTCAATTTATTTCAGTAAATTAAGTTCATAGCACACAGGAAAGACATTTGCCACAGGAACTGTTTGCAACATGACTAAATACCAAATAAATAAATACTAAATAAACATGTAGAACACAATATGGTGTTACAAGTCTAAGCCTTTAAAAATGGAATCCAGTTGAGAGATGCAATGCAAGAAATTGGTATTTTACAATCAGCCCAAGGAAGCAAAATACATGTAATTGAGCATGCTTAGCTGCTCATAAAAAATGTATAGTTTAATTTTCGGAACGATCCAAATACAGGCTCCATGTTAATGGGATGGGTTGATGGATGATTATGCAACGAGAGTTTGATCATATCATAGCAATATCAATAGCAATATAAATGGTAAATCCAACATCGAAAGTAAAGTGAAAAGGGGCAAGACTTACACAGCAACGTTGAAGAAGATAGAGAAACTGGTGCTCTGAAACAAAGCAGAGTTGGGAACGGATTTTCCTCTATATGGATAAAAGAGAGATAAATAACCCACCACGGTAGTTGCTACCAGAAATCCAACAGAGAGAAATCCCAAAGCTACTGTAGGATCAGATGGATACTTGCAAATCACAACACCTTTTCCGGGTATTGGAGTTCCAGCAGCAGGCTATTTTATTATTTTATTTCAAAAAAAAAAACAAGTAAATAAGAAATTTGTTTGTTTAATACGCACCCAGAAAAATTATCTACAAAAAAAAAAAAAAAAAAAAGAACATTACCTTCTTGTTTTCGGCGACAATGCCGAAAACAAAAGAGATAATGCCAAGGGCTGCGACTGCGAGAGCCATCTGCTTCATTGTAACGGCCATTGTTTCGTGCGAGTGGCTGAGGAAAACGCGAAGGATAAAATATTAAGAATTGCTATATAATTTCGACAGAAAAAAGAAAGAAAGAGATATGATGGATCAGTTTCACCTTCAATAATAACGGAGCAAGAAGGAAGGATTGAAGAGAGAGGAAGAGAGGAGGATCTCTTGTTATAAATAATACAGAAAACAGAATTTAATAGAGATGAAGACGACGATGGTGATTATTCAAAGAGAGGCGATGTAAGAGACCTTTCGCTCCCTCGCTCCTCTCCTCTCCTCTCCTCTCCTCTGCCCTGCCCTTTGAATGAACGAAGGAATTGCGTGCTATTGGTTGGTTTTATGGTTAGGTAAGAAATAAGGGAGCTATATAGAAGAAGAGAATCAGGTCTTCGTTGTAGTCTCGGATTCTCGATTCCTGCCCTTCAATATCTCCTTATCTTTCGCTCTTTCTGTTTTGTTATTACTCTTCTATTATTCTTATTTCCTTTTCACTCTTCTATTTTCGGTTACTACTATTTATTACTTTATTTTTTACACCTACCAATTCTTTTCTTTTATTTTCAAATCCAACGTTGGACTACTAAATTGAACCATATCTTCTTCCTTATATTTAAGCAATTTCATCCAACATTTTTTTTAAAAAAAAAACCCAAATCATGGATTGGCTATTTGATTGAATTGCTTAAATATAAGAAATATAGGGTCGAATTGTAAAATTAATTGCGAAGGGTTCGATTGTCTATTTAATACAAACATAGATGATCCTCGTGTTTTTCTTTTTATTTTATTTTATTTGACTATAGTATCCTCCACCAGCTGGAAAATTTTCCTTTCTTGTCTTGTGACAGGAACCTCATTTTTTGGTTCGTTAGCTGTCATTTATATTTATATTTATATTTATATTTATTGTATTGTCACACGCACATGTACAATACACATAATCACGTCAACGTGCAAGTAATGCCCCGTATTTGGACGCTTTTTTTGAAAAAAAAAACGGCAGGTTTTTCTCCTCCTATTAATAGGATGGATTCTTTGCTGTTCAGGACCATAAATAAAACAAAATAGATTCAGAATTTATACCGTCTCGGGAAAAAAGGAAAGGCAAATTACTAAATTAACCGAGAGTCCAGATCGAGATTCGGATCTTTGACTCCTTTTTGGAGTTTATCTTTTTAAACATTCCTAGTCAAATTGAAGGTGTCTGTCTGTCAAAACGTGGAGTGAGATCGACTTGAGGACTGGCTTTGCATCCGTTAATGTGGAAGGCTGGAACCTGCCGCTTTTAACAAATAATAATTGATGTGGGCATGGGCTGAATAAGTACTCGGTGACCTTTCAAACAAAGCCCAGGAATTAATGGACCAAAATAACAGCAGTTGATGTGGGTATGGGCTGAATAAGTACTTGATGACCTTTCAAACGAAGCCCAGAAATTAATGGACCAAAACAACAACAGTCGATGTGGGGATGGCAGCAGCAGCAGTTGACCTTTCAAACAAAGCCCAGGAATTAGTGGACCCAAATAACAGCAGTAGATGTGGGGATGGGCTGAATAAATACTCGATAACCTTCCAAACAAAGCCCAGGAATTAATGGACCAAAATAACAACAGTTGATGTAGGCATGGGCTGAATCAGTACTCGGTGACCTTAAGCCCACGAATTAATGGACCAAAAAAAAAACAACAGTTGGTCTCTGTCATTCTCCATTCTTATTATCTATCTAATCTGAACTCTAAAAGACTAAACCCTAAATAAAAGAGCCAGGCTACAAGCCCACAGCGGAGCTGACAATAGAGAAAGAGGCTGCGGGCTGCAAAAAGGACCACTCCTCTTCGACTTCAATGTGTCTTCTGTAATAACTATTCCTTTGTTGCTTCCAATCTTCATTCAAATCAACAGAAACAGCCCAAACACTCACTCGCCATCGGCTTATCGAAATGCCTAGAGATACAAGAAACTCAAAAAAACTCTCCTCCTCCTCCTCCTCAACCACCACCACCCTGAAACCACCCCAACAATCCAGTGCCCACGATCCAAACGTCCACAACAATTGCCTTTCCCCACAAAAACAGAATTCCACTGAAAAAAGATCCCTAGTTTGTGCCATTCCCCAATCTGGGTCCACAAAATTTCCAATCTTTCGTAGAATTAGGGTCCTTGAGGTTTCGACTCCTAGGCGATCTTTAAGGCTTTCTTTGTTGCGGGACCCAAATGCAAATCAACCTGTCAGCGACAAGACCAGTGATTGCAAGTCTGATGATATGAGGGTTTTGTCTTCGAATGAAGTGGAAATGGAAACTAGTAACAGGAGTCGTGTTATTACTCTTGGACTTCAAGAACCCAAAGCAAGAGTGAGTGCTGCTGAAACAAATGAACAGGAGATTATTAATTGTAAGAAGAGAAAGAGAGCTGATGAAGCTACTAATAAAACGGCTGTTGAAGGGTGGACAAAGGAGCAAGAAATATTTTTGCAAAGAGCCTTTTTTGCCACCAAGCCTACTCCTAATTTCTGGAAGAAGGTTTCTAAGCTGGTAATTTTATTTTATTTTATTTTTTTGCTATTTTCTGCTTCTGCTCACATTCTTCTTATCTTGTGTTTTAATTCAATCAACTGTTCGATATTCTTATCTTTTATCCCGTCCTTTACTGTGTTTTAATTCTATGAAATCAGTGATCCCTAATAAATACAAGTTGAATTGCAAGATGGGCACTCTAGATTGGAAAGGGATACCTGTCATTACTTGTTTATTTATTCTTAACCTGAAATCTAAGCTGGAATTCTACCTATATTTTTATTTCTTTTTCCAATTTGTTTTGTTATGAAATTTGGAGTTTACAGCCAACAGTAAATGATGTTTACTTCTTTACCTGAAATCAGTGACCCCTTTTAATGCTCGTCTTCTTCTATGCATTATCATGCGTGTACAGGCTGTTCATAGATTTTTTGGGCGTTGACAAACTACTTTTGAAATATCATCCATATTTTAGATGCTTTGTAGCTACCATAACTTGGAAACTTAGGATTTTAGAAAACTGTAGCATAAAAACAGAATTGCAAATTTTTCCTTTTCCTTGAAGGAACTCTTGCATGTTCATTTCGAATTCCCATCATATCTGGATGCCAAGCATTCAGATGCTATAAAAACACAGTAATGTAATCCTTTGCTTTCAAGATTTTGTTGCTATATTTTTCAGATATGGTATAGTTGATGATATGTAAAATGCTATTGTCAGCATACACCATGTGCAGTCGATTTACCTTTTTCTCCTTACTCAATATACTATCATTTATTGGCTTTTAAAATCGTGTATCAGCTCTCCAACTTCAACAATTATGTTTTGGATTTTATCAGCTGGCAGAACATGCCGGGCAGCAATCTGTTGCTAGTAGTTGTTATGATAGCTTAAATTATGGGCTTTTATATCCGATGTCGAAGGATAGTCTCATCTTATCTTGGTTGGGAGTGCCAATTTGTGTCCTTTTATACGTAAAGGTAATTTCTACCTAGCTTGAAAGGGCACCAGTTGTGAGCTTTATATTAAAATGTGCATGAAAACAATTGCAGGTTCCTGGAAAGACCGCACAGGATTGTTTTGACAAAATCAACTCTGACCAGATGACTCCATCTCAAGCTCTGCCGAGATCGAGGATTAAGAGAATAAACTCATCACCTCTTGAAAGTTCTTTGCTCTCTGCTAGCAAGCTACTTAATCCCTCTGGCCCAAAGAGTAAACGATTGAGTCGTAAGCAGAAGAGTCATATTGCACATAAAAATGTTAGAGAATTATTGCAGAAGCAGAATCAAATGGACCGAGATTATGAAGCAGACTTATTCTCCATTCTTGAACCCAACATGAATGCATCGACCGAAGATTCTCAGCTGCCTGTTAAAATTTCCACCCCCAAGCATTCACAACAAAAACAGGGCTTTCTTCACACGTTGCTTGAGAGATCTTCTTCTGGCCATAAAAAGCCCCTTTCAAGATTGAGTTCATGTGGAATAGATATTGTTAGTCCCCCAGTACTGAAACAGGTGAAAAACAGGGCTTTACACGAGAAATATATTGACCAATTGCACTGCAGGGAAGCTAAGAGAAAGGCAGCATATGCACGGGCAGGAAAATCTGTTGCAGGAAAAGAGAATAGAGGGGAGATCAATGTTCAGAAAATAGATGTGGTTAGAGCTGCAAAAAGTACCCTAGTTTCTGATGTACGAGATGCTATTAATCAGCTCCAATATGTGCGGGCTGATGGCAGCACCTCATCTGATTTTGATGATGATGGTGTTGGTAGTGATGATGATGATGGCGGTGAAAGTAGACTATGAGGTAAGTGCTTTGCCTTGTTGGTCCTTGTTGGTCTTTGTGTTTGATGATGAAGATGGAAAAAATCCCACCAAAAAGAAGCACATTAATTCCGATGAATTTTAACTTCTGTGCTCAACAGTTTAGCAGTGCTAGTTGGAGCTACTAATTCTCTGATCCTCTAATGTAGAATAATCTTAGGTTACACTTGTAGGTTTCATTTTTATTTCGTTTCTTCTTTTTTTATTTCAAAGAAATCGTCAGCCATGCTTCTAATGGTTCATTATTTTCTAATGTAGAAGTAATGGCATTGATTCTAGGACTAGGATTATTGTGCTTTAGGTTCGATTCCCAATAATAGTAATTACCAGAGGTCTAATCACAGTAATGGAGTAGATGTACCTGAGCTTGTGCATTCGAAATTGTAAAAAAAAAGATGAGGTAAATTATAAATTAGTTCCTCAAACGATTTAATTAGTCTTTTTGTTTAAAAAACTAATCATTTAGTTCTCATGTTTTTTAATTTACTTGTAGTTTAGTATTTTTTTTTAATTTATTTTGATTTTTTGTTTTCATAAATAAAAAATAATAATTTTAAATTAAGTATAGTCAATGAGATTTATAATAGTTTTTAAAACAAAGTGAACTAATTAATTTGTTTCTATAATTTACGACAGATGATAGAGGCGCTGCAGTATTTGACTAAAATGAAAAAGTTAAAAATAAAAAAATGACGACGAAGTGGGCTGGACATGGGCTGTGCCATTTGGACTCAAGTCTTAACATAAACAGCTGTTGTAGTGGTTGTAAATAAGAAAGTGGATTCTATTTCTATGATGATTATGATGGGCTGTGGACTGAACAGTTTGGAAAGCCCAGTCCTGGAGGTATATTTGTATTAAGATTTATTTATCAGATAAGGCCGGAATGGGTCATAGTCATTGATTAACTTTATAATTAAATTAAAATACCCTAATCCACTTGCACACTCGACTTTTATTTTTAGTAATTAGCAAGGATGATCACTGATGTTACGTGGACTCATTGCCACTAAATCAATCTCTTGTGAATTATTTATGAATATAAACAAATATTATTTTAAAATTAAATTAAATTAGGGTTAGTGCACCGTCCCCATGTATTCCGATTCCTGCGATTTTTTTAAAAAAACCTTAACTTTATTTTTGATTTGATTGCTTTATTTGTTCTGTAGCTATTTTAGGTTTAGAGTTAGTCAAAATCAAAAGGAATGTCCACCGACATCATGCAAGCAAAGCACTCACCAAATTTGTTCTTCTTATTTTAACTTAAATCTGTATTTATCACCAAAAAAAAACCAAAAAGAATATTTTAATGAAGTCTAGAATTTTCCCTCCTCATAGTTATCGTTATTATTGTTATTATATTATGCTAAGCATATGTTATATCGAGTATATGTGTATTAAAAAAAATTAAACAAAACAAATTTTATAAATAAATAAATATAATAATTATGGAGTATATGGGGAGGGAGAGAGGATACTTTTGTCCTGTCTGGTCTTGTTTGTTCGTTTAAGCTTTTTGAAATTTTTGGTCACTCTTTTTGGTTCCACCTTTTTATCTTCTTTCTTTCTCTAGTAACTCTTAGGTGCTTCTCTGATCACTTCTCTCAAATAAGCTCATTCATTTATTTAACTTTGCTCATCCATCCGTCCATCCATCATAGTATTCTTCTTATTATTAACAGTCAATATCTCAACTTTTATCTAATTTTCATCTTCATCAGCTACCTCGTGTTTTGTTGGTCTTGAACAGTCCTAACTTTTAACTTGCTATCTGGTTTCATTTTATTTTGTTATACTAAGACCAAACCAAACCATAGTAAATAACTGTAATAACTGTTTTTATAATCCAGAGGATCAATTCATCATCTTGTCTTAATTTCTCAACTATACGTAAAACACTATGTGGGGTTTGAGTTTGATCAAAGGTGTGGTGTCTACTAGGCAAAGGCAACAGCAACCTCTTGATGTAACCCTGTGCTGCTTATCCATCTTTCAACTACTGCTGCTGGATTCCGTGAGTGGAGTTGGAGTAAACTGGGGAACTCAGGCAACGCATCCTTTGCTTCCTTCCACGGTGGTTAACATGCTCAGGGACAACGGTGTTCAGAAGGTTAAGCTATTTGATGCTGATTCAACAACTCTAACTGCTCTTGCTAATTCTGGGATTCAAGTCATGGTGGGCATTCCCAATGAGATGCTCTACGATCTGGCTAATAGTGAGAAAGCTGCTGACAATTGGGTGGCCAAGAACGTCTCCTCCCATATCTCTTCTGGTGGCGTAGACATAAGGTGATCAATCAATCCCTTCCCTTTTAAACCATTGACATGGATTGATTTGCTTTGCCAGTCATCGATTGTAGTATATGTTTTGACTCGAATTATATAAGCCAATTAAGTGTGTGTCAAGTAAGAAGAAATAAAGGAGGATTATGACTTGGATTATATTATATGAGCTTGCTTTGCTCTTCTGGTGTTTATATGTTCCATTGCTGTAGCTCGTAATTTGAGTTTTTTTGTTTTTAAGGTACGTTGCAGTTGGAAATGAGCCATTCTTGCCGACATACAATGGAACTTTTCTGGCAACAACTCTTCCTGCTCTTCAAAATATCCAATCAGCTTTAAGAAAAGCCGGACTAGACACTCGGGTGAAAGTCACCGTTCCCCTCAATGCCGATGTATATGAGAGTCCAACAAATCTCCCATCTGATGGTAACTTCCGTTCAGATATCCAAGATCTCATGCTATCGATTGTCAAGTTCTTGAGCGACAATGGGGCTCCGTTCATTGTCAATATCTATCCATTTATAAGCCTTTACAGTGATGCTAGTTTCCCCCTGGCTTTGCCTTCTTTGGCAACAATTCTTCTCCCTTGAACGACCGTGGAACGATCTATGACAATGTGTTCGATGCGAATCATGACACCCTTGTATGGTCCTTGCAGAAAAATGGATATGGAAACATGTCCATTGTCATCGGGGAAATAGGGTGGCCTACTGACGGAGATAAAAATGCAAACTTGAACTATGCACAGCAGTTCAACCAAGGGTTTATGAGTCGTGTCATTGCCGGTAAGGGAACCCCATTGCGCCCTGGCCCTGTGGATGCCTATTTGTTTAGTCTCATAGATGAAGATGCCAAAAGCATTCAGCCTGGTAATTTTGAGCGCCACTGGGGATTATTTTACTTCGATGGACAGCCTAAGTATACAATAAGCCTGGGGACAACGAATTCAAACGGTCTGGTACCAGCAAAGGGTGTGCGTTATTTACCTCGACGATGGTGTGTTATGTCTCCATCAGCTAGTCTGGATGATCCACAGGTTGCAGCAAGTGTGAGCTATGCTTGTGCTAATGCAGACTGTACCAGTCTTGGGTATGGGACCTCTTGCTCTGATTTGGATGCACGGGGCAACATCTCCTATGCATTTAACAGTTACTACCAGCAGAATGATCAACTTGAAACGGCTTGTAAGTTCCCAAATAGTCTTTCGATTGTTACAAATAGTGACCCCTCTACTGGAACCTGCAAATTCAGGATCATGATTCAAGGTGAAATAATCACCTCTGGTGTTGAAGCTGGTGGAAGAAGGTTTTTAATGTCTAGTTTGGCACCGTTGGTCTTCGTGTTTCTTTCTGCATTTTTCTGATTTTTGGGAACGGGGTTGATTACTTGTATTTCCTCGATTAGCATGTATAGAAGATAAAGTGCGCATTTTAAATCTGAAGCTTTAATTCTATAGGGCCATGTATAGAAAACAACTCAAGAATGATCACATCTAACTGCAATATTTGGATTCAGTCAGAAACGTTCTAATTTCCATCTGTATCTCGCAAATGAAAAGAAAACATGTAATACATATATGTTCATTGATTTCATCAAACATTGGAACAAAACAGGATTATAGCTACTAGTCCCATGCTGCTGTTCAAAATTGTCTAGACAAAAACCTGCAAATGCCTTCCAAACACTGAATCAAAAGTCCTCGTGTTTATTAAAATGAAAGTTATCACTGCTGCATATCGATTCTGAACATATATATCCACCCTATTGCTTGTACAATGATTTGGTAAAAATATGATTGTTCCTTTCGGTTTGCTCCAAATATAGCACACTTCCACCACCTTCAGACCAGACGGTCCAGGCTTAGGGACAAATGCTTCAAGATTTTTACTCAAGACAAGTGCTCATTCTACGTCTTGATATCACTCTGGTGTAAGCCCAGGGGCTGTACGACCGGCGGTATCCTGGTGGTCGATGCTGAGCCTGAGGCATTGTAAGCAAGAGTAATTGAAGTGAAAGTCAAGATGAAGGCCACGTAGGTGCTAAAAGAAAAGAGAGGCCACCAAAGTTATAATTCCAAATCATTATCGGCTGCTCAAAACTATTGTTTTGATAGCAAGCACACATTAATTGTACTTTGTAATCGACATTAACTAAAAGAATTCTTAAAAGAAAAGCACGGGAAAGGAAATGGCTACATTATTATTTATCCTTGATAATTGAGAGGAGATCACTAACCCCAGCTGTTACTGGACCTGTTGCCCCATATTTGATATTCCAATGCAATACATCAAAATATTTATATTCACTTCTGATCCATTAATAATTTCCTTTTTTTCCCTTTTTTTTAACAATTATACACACACACACACACACACACACGTATAGATGAAAGTAAGCAGGTTTAATATGTTCACTATAAACTGATTTTTATGCGTTACCTTACAGCAGTATATACTAATTATTTTTTATTTTTTTATTTCTTGACGAATCAATATATGTATATATACTGATTTTTGCCACATTGCATCTCTAAACTATCTCCATCTACACATTTGCCTCAAATAAGCAACTATTTATTTGTGCCCCAGATTATTGTAAAAGAACATACAATATATTCCCATCACAATAAATTATCTACACTGTTATTGTGCAAAGTTCCTTTTTTTTTTCCCACCATTTAGAAGGTCCCCAAAAGTGGAAACTAATGCAAACAGATTTTTGCTCAAGGAAGCAAGACTGACTCTCTGTAGCCTAACCTGGGATGGAGAGCAATGCCAAACCTGAGGCATCAGGTGAGAGGAATACATGTTGTCCAAGTGCACAGACACTGCAGGAGCTGAGCTACAACACGTGCTGCATGACAAATCACCATCCACAGCTCAAAAATTTTATGTTATGCAGAGTCTCAATCTAAGGATAGATCTTTGCAGTTGCAGTTGTCCCAAAAAATGCCTTATCCCCTGACTATCCATTTCCCTCTCGTCTCAGGTGCCATCTATTTAGACTTGGCTCTTGTTATTCCATAGTTTAAGATGCAGAATATGCATTATATCATTCCTATTGCCTCAAAAATGGCTGTCAAAAAGTTGTTCCACATAAGTATAGAGGGAAAAAAAGCACCTTCACCAACTTCAAGCAATCGCATGGTTACAACATTCCTGTTTGGTGATTGCTTCATTAGTTCCTTGATCTTATATCAGCCTGCAGTTAAAATAGAATAATAAATGGAGCATTATCTACATAAAAATAAATAAATAATAGAAAGAAAATGTCAAAGACGTTCCAAAGTTATGAACTATTGACAGCACCCTACGTGACTGAATGCATTGGTTTGGCACCAACTTTTCATCAACCTATCTGTTAACTCCCCTCCCATTTTAAGTAACAATGCAACATGTCCATAAATTAAGATAAAGGCTTTCTGAAAATAATGGTTTGACATCTTTCAGACAATTTATGGCAAATTCTTGCAATAAATTAAGACCAAATAAAATGTTCGAGTTTGTCTAAATAATCAACCACTGGTAATTCCTCTTAATTAGCCACTATGTACCATTTTGCAGAGTATAAATGTTAAATATGACTTCTCAAATCACTAATTAGCAACAAGCCAATAGATGCTAAAAGAAACATCTATGGGCAGAAACTGTGTTTTATAATCAGAACATAATTAAAATGGCAGTAATCTCTGTGCTTTATCCGTTGCATTTTCATTCATTATCCCACTAACAGCTAGCCATTTTAGAAGTGCTAACGTAGTTTAATGCATCGAAAAATATGAAAATTTCTGCTTAAAGAAGAAGAACACAAGTCAAACATCTTACAACTCCCATAGCACCCAGAGCATCCTATCAAAGTAATAAATTCTCACCACTAATTTCTTTGGCTTGAATAAGTTCTGTCACTCCAGATTGTGTGAGACCATCCACATGATGCAACTGAGACCAAAAAAAAAAAAAAAAAAAATGGAGCATGGTCATGATTAAAACTAAAAGAGAAAAAGCAAATTCAAGGAACAAGTCTCAAGACATAGAACAAGTTGTCAAATGAAAAAACAATTGCATTGTTGACAGTAACCAAATGAGCAAAGAAATCAACAAAAAACTGAAATTGCAAAGCTGCTCCTTTTACATTAGCAATCAGCATGTTATGGTTGTTTCATAAAATGACATATTTAACTGCAAGTTTGGTTTTGGTTAATTAATATATTTTAGGAATAAATGAGAGCACTATGGTTTTTTCCTTTTCTCCGTCTCGATTTGTAAAATTCCACTTCCTAATTCAGAAGAAAACCCAAACCTACTGCATGTTGTTAGTCTCATTAAACACTGGAAATAACTAGAAAACGTAAATTAGTGCGGCATTGCATCTCAAAACTGCCTCCATCCAGAACTATAGACTATAGCCTACAAATTCCTCTCAAAAAGCTGTCTACCCCTCAGTGCATTTTCCCCAAAAAACAATTAATGTCACGTCATATGAACCCAAAATATCCATATTCCTGGGGTTTATTAGTGAAATAGAAGACTTGAAATAATCAGCCACGTTAATCTTGTCCAATGATATTGTTAAAAACTTACGGTTCCTTAGGGTTTCTTTCAACTACAACTCCCCCACCATCAATCCAGAAAGTCCAAGTTTAGGAACCAATGCAATTAGATGTTCACTCAGTGGAGTGTTTATTCTATCTCTTGACATCACTTTGTGGTATACCCAAGGGATGAAGAAGCAAGAAAATCCGTAGCCTGGTGGGTAACACTGGGAATGATGTGCCAGTGAGACAAATAGAAGTGTCAGTGTAACATGCAAGAACTGAAAGAAGGCACAGAAAACATATTTCCAAATTATTACTGGCTGATCAAACTTAATCTCATGCAAGAATTAAGTGCTGATCAGCACCTCAAGAATTAGAGCAGCAGCATGTATATGGAGTTGCAGGTGTCCTCATTTAAGTCTTGTAACTCTCACCCCTGCTCTTGAATATCCACTCTGATTGCTTATGCCCATTTACCTCATACTTCTATATAAACTCAATACTAGTTATTAGTGACAAATTAAAGAGCTTTTCCGAAAAGTTTTATATATTCCTCTTTTAGCATATTACAATATATAGACATTAAGAGTACATCAAATCCCTTTAACTTAGGCCTAATTACAGCAGAAAATATACACAATCAAATAAAGATACTAGAGCGGAAATCAAGGGGTTTTCTGCACATTCCTTACTTAGCATATCCTCCTAATTAATGATAATACGACTATAAGGAAAGAATAATAAATGAGAAAATGATTCCATTGACAATTAGATCACCTCTCAATTTTACTTTCAAAATGACAGTACTGTATTTATACTAAATACCGAGGGAAAAACAAAAAAAAAAAAAACAAAACAAAATCCTCACCAAATTCGAGCAATTGCAATGTTCCAGCATTCCCATGTTATTCTTTTGGAGGTAGTCTCTCGATCTTATATCAGCCTGCAGTTAAAGCAGTATGGTAGTGCCCAGATTGAATAGCAGAGTCCCCCAACAGGATGCATAAAAAAAAAAAAAAAAAAAAAGAATAATGTCACAACACAAGCATTTGGCAGTTCAAAGTTAAAAAGCATGGTAAAAAGCATAGTCGCTAACTTTTTCATTAACCTCTTTTACCTCCCAGCTTTAAGTAAAATACGGAACATGACCATCAATTAAGATAAGGACCTTTGAAAGTACTGTGCGAGACCAGATACAATGTCATATTTCAGACAGATTGCAAGACTCCAAATACAATGTCTGAAGTCATCTAAAATCCACGGGCAGTAAATGGGATTTCCTGCTAATCATCCATTTTAAACCACATGATGGAGTACCTTTGCTAAATTAAATAGGTAAGCTAGCTATCATGACAGAAAGCTTCTCAGTGAAGGAGACAACATTTGAGCTCAATTGAAAAGACTCTAAGAAATCTATATCAGAGATCGTAAGTAACAAAAATAAGACTACAGAATCACAGTTCAAACTAGCCTAGATGTGGTATATACTGACTTAAATATTAGTTTGTTCATTGTCTCTGACTCTCTTCTATGACTGAATATTACTCACAAAGCCTTTATGAAGAAAAGACCAGTAATGAGTGATGCTCCAAAGCTTTAAAAATCATAAGGTTTCACCTGCCGGATAGGCTCTGGCACACGATACTTGCAACTCATTTTCACAATTTTGATGGCAGTATCAAGAGACACACGGTGACCAACTGAAATATATATGGGCTTCAATGAGCCCTTGGTTGATGTCATTGCCTGTTAAAGAAGCAAAACAAAAAAAACAACAACAGAGAAAGATTTGAAGCACATTGAAAAAAAACTTCTGACTAGAAGAGAAGATGATAAACTGCATAAAATATATGATCGGAGCATTTATAGACTCTGTTTAAATGCATTTTTAATTCTGTGGTGGTAGCTAATGCCTACTAAATGTTTATAGACTCTATTTAAAAGCTTGAGGCCATCTCTGTGGAGGTAGTAGACGCATGTTGAAAAGCGTTCTTATACAAACATATATATGTGGATTCTTCTATAAACTGTACCATAAATCATCCAGAGTCAAACTTGATGTAGAAGGATGTTTAGTTTCAGTTATACTACATGATGGCAGAAAATCCACAATCCATTAGAAGAAACTTCCCATAGCATAACTTAGCTATTCCATCTATATTTACAAGGTAATAGCATTACTATTGCAATTGTATATTAAAAAAAAGAAAAGAAAAAAGAAAAGAGCTGAAGTAGGACTGTCGCACAAAGTCACCCCCCTGGAAATGCCAACTTCTACGATGCAGCACTAATCTAAGACTTGTCGATTTCCCTGAGAATGATATACTGCTCTCGTAATAAGGGAAAACATCTAAACTGAAAGGGGGCAAGAGGAGATAAGTTAAAACAAGAAACCACCACTGAAGACAAAGAGTGAAGACAAGGGTGAATGTGGACTTGATCGTCCAATAACTGCTCTTTACAAATTTCAACAGCTTTGATTCTAAGAACCAATTTTAGTTATAATAAATCAAGTGTTTAATCCTTAGGACAGCTGTGCACATGGCATGCAAGCTAAGTGGTGGGATTGACCGACTTAAATTCTTTAAGTTTTATCAAATTTGACTTGAAAGATGATAAAGATCATGGCAAGACCTTGTAGAGCGATCCCTTAAAAACTGTTGATTTTGAAAGTGCCTTCAATCAAATTGTACAATCTATCACTGAGATATGAAATTTTTATGCTTAAATTAGACGAAGATGGTGAGTTAAATTTTTTACCGCTCCCCATATGCAGCCAGAGGATCCCTTCAAAGCAACAAAATCTTCAACACTGTTATCTTTGGTCTGAAGAAGCTGTCTCACTCCAGATTGTGTGAGACCATCGACATGATGCAGCTAAAACATAAAAAAGATAAAATTTAGGGAAGAAGTTTGAAGATATCACAAGTTGAAGTGATCAAATGATGAAGAAGAGTTGAATTGTTAACAATCATAAAGAAATGAATGAGACTTATATTGGAAGACTAATAGTAACTACATTAATTAGCATTATTTAATAAAAGAGTAGTGATTAAGAAGTAGTAAGAGGTCAGTTACATTCTTTCCAATGCCAATGGTGGGGATATTAGCTAGAACACCAAGATGGCAAGCCAAGCCAAAACCTGTAAAAGAAAGGTAGCTATACGTAATGCAACGCATACGAAGAAATGAAGATTCGATGGAAAAAGGGAGAAAGCAAAGCTTGCCTCGGGGATGAAGCAAACCATTGCCGTCAACAAGCAGCAACTGTTGATTAACAGAGACAACACCTCAGTTTCAGATAAAAAGTTTGAGCAGAACCTTAATAATCCAGGCAAGAGATTATTCACGTTAGCCTGGCCTAATTAATACATATGATAGCATGGCAAAGTGTATGGAAGCAATTGAGAAGCCATTTATTAATAACGGCAAGGGAAGGGAAAGATTAAAAAGAAAGAGGGTGGCGTGGCATGGCATGGCTGACCTGGGGGTAGAAAGGATTGTCAGTGTTTTTCATCTTCTGTAAGAGCTGTAGAAGTATTGGAGCCTGAAAATAAGAATTGCATCAGCATCAGCAGCAGCAGCAGCAGCAGAAGGGCAGAAACAAAATAATTATAACAATAATAATAAAAATAAAAGAAGTGACCTCCCGGAAGGCGAGAAAGGCAGGAATATAAGGGACATGAAAATCAGTGAGGATAGAAAAATCTTGGTAGACAACTTGGAGAGTGGTGAGATCCAAAACAACAAGGCTCCCACATCCACATGCTGCTGCTGAGTCCAATTCCTTGGAATAGCTTACATCAACTCCACCCACATACTTCAATAATGCTTCTTCGCTACTGGTGGGTGTGGGCAGTTTCCACGGGAAATCATCCTCTGTTATCAACCTCTGTTTGAGTAAATCTTGAATCCTGTTTTGCAAATTAAATCAAATTACTATAGGACACTACCACAGCAGTGTCTATCTAAAACAAGAAATTGGGAATTGCATTAATAGGAAGCATTGAAGCAAGCAAATAGCAGCATCATACTCTCTCCATTGATTTTGAATTTGAATTGTTGACGCTGATGCTGGTGCTGGTGTTGATGATGATGGTTCTCCCCAACTCGGACCCTGACCCTGACCATCCATTACTTAGTCAGGTGGTAGTGGTAGGTATCCCGATTTTGGGCGGAAGATGAAACTCTGAAATCAAAATATGTATTGACCATGACCATCCTTTTATTTTTAAAATTTGTTAATTTAAATATCCTATTATAATTACATCAACCGTTCATCCTAGTAGACAAGTTATTTATTTTTAACAATCAATCACAAATTAACACATGACATAATAAATTTCAAATAACAATGTCTTCATCGTAAATTTAAAAAAAAAATTGATTGAAATAATAAAATAATAAAATGACCAAAAGCAATCCCAGCTTCTATTATTTTCAACCTAATTCAAAAAATTGATCTAGCGGCTGGAGGTGGCGTTTTGCAGTTGTGGGGCTTATGGTTTTGGGGGCTGGAGGTGGTTTTAATAGGTAAGGGTTTCGGGATAGTAGGAATGGTAATTTACTTTGTCCCAACGGAGCTTCACCCGGATCAATGCAGAAATTCTCCAAGTTGATTAGGGAACAAGGCAAGGCGCCCCACCTAGCATTGATTTTGAACGAGGATGGGGTGGGGATATTATTTGCCCACCCTGTCCTACCCAACCTAACCCAACCCTTTTCTTTGAAAAATTATAATTATACCCAATATATATATAAATTCTCATAATGTAAATTTAATACATGTAAGGATTTATCTTTTTAAAGTGCATTTGTGATATTAACGAGTTGTGATATTTCATCAACTTAGTTAAATATGTTATTTAATTGATTGAAAATAATTTAATATATTATGAGTTGTGTTGTAAACTTATAGTTGAATATGATTGTAAATGATTATCTTTCTTAATTGTATTTTTTATATAGACTATTATCTTTTTGCTATAGTTTGAAATTTAATACAAAATGATATGAGGTAGAATAGGACTGGGCGGATGCAAAGAATTAGCGAGGCACCAATGCCCCGCGAGGTTCCCCGTCCCCGTTAAGGAAGGCGATGGTAGGGGAAATATTGCCTCGTACAAGGCACAGAGAGAAAGCGAGAGATGGCCGAGCTATGATATTTCGAGGCTATGAGTTTATGGTAGTGGAAGAGTAGGCTCAATTGGAGTTGTGCAAAGCCAAGGTCGATGAGGTTTTAGTGGTCAGTAGTGTTTGTAGGTCGTGAGTTTATGGTAGTGGAAGAGTGTGGCTCGACTAGTGTTGTGCAACGACGGTGTTTAGGAGGTTTAAGACTATATTGTTTTGGGGTCGTGGGTTTATAACAACAAAAAAGTGGGTTTAGTCTGGTGGTTTCGAGGTCGTGGACGATGACGACTAGATTGTAAGGTGAGCATCAATGAGGAGCGGTTGGTAATTGACAACTCTATAATGGGCAAGTTTTTTACTATTACTAGGTTTGTGCGATGGCCGCAAGACCTTCATTATCTCACAAAGGATACTTGTTGGGGTGGGCTTATGTGGTTGTGTCATTCTCTCCGGCAACATCTCCGGGTCCGAAAGCACTTGCCCTTAATCTACCAAGTAGTAGAGAGTGAGGCAATCCATGGATCAGTACCTCTTATTATTGCTATAGTTTTTTTACGGTGTAAAGGGGGTCCATACTTTTTCTCACTATATTTTTATGTCAACACATTTTATTCTTAACTTGAAGTTTCTTGTGCTTCATCTTTCTAGTCATACTTTACAAAAACAATCTTAACGAGCTTGTATAAATATAATAATCGTGGTTGTGATATCTATTGGGTCATCCGCATTGATTGCAGTTTCTTCACTATACATTTATAATACATACCGCATCTATATAAATCCGGATGCAAATGAAAAATAAATCCTCAAAGTTTTGAAGGTTGTTGTCCCAAGCTTCGCATTTTCGTGGGATTGTTAGCAATAATGTTAAACAAAGCAAGAGTTTCATTGGGTTTGATGTATCTTGCTATGGGAGTTTCATGGGATTGTTAGCACTAAAATTAAACTACTAAACGAAGCAAAGAGTTTCAAGGTTATTGCCTGCATTGTTACAATAAAAAAGATAATTGGGGTGAGGGCATCTCTATAATTTATTTTTTAAATTATAAGCATTAGTTGTTAAAAAATTTTAATTTTTTCAATTCGGATAGAAATATCGTATTTTGGTACAAATTTCTAAAAATAGAAAGTTTCAATTAAGCTAAAAAAAGTAGATGGTCTCAATTAAAAAAAAAAAATCAAAGTTTACAGTGGTTTGAATGTGGGGTAAACTCTTTAATTATTTTTTGCAAAAAAAACTCTATGTATTGCTAAGTTTTTTTTTTCTTTTCAATTTTTAGGCCAAGCTCTTGCATGTAAAATGTTCAATAGGTATCCCAATACAATATTAGATTGGTGGTTTAAAAACAATGATAGCTATAGACTTTACACCCAAAGCTTAAATGATATGGTGAATCATCATTGATGTGTTCGATTTAGGTAAATGTTTTTTTATTACTCAAAGTCAATTTAAAATTTCATTATGAAAATATTTTCTAGATAACTAGATCAATGTTAGTTTGGTGGTTCCACATAATGACTAACATGGGTTTTATAGCTATGACTTTGAAGATTTGGTGAATTATTATTGTAGAGGATTGAAATTAGGCAAATATATTTTTTTTATTAAGTTAGAATCATTATGAAATTTCATTATATTTTCTCAAAAATTTTCAATAATCTTATCACATTAAAATTTGAAAATGTTGAACAATTTCTTAGCTTAGATAATTTCTTATGTAGCTTGTCTTAATTTTGTAAATTTGGTTAAGTATATCTAACAAGTAGCTAGATGGTAGTCCAAGGCACGAAAGCCAAGCCCACATAAAAAAAGATTGTTTTTTTTTTCTTTGTATGGAATACTACTATTCAAAGGATCATTTTAGATTTGGATTACAAATTTTCTCATATTTAGAATCTTCATGCCAAATTATCAAAGTCTATATAGGAACATTACCAAAGAAAGTTGCGATATTTTTCTTATATAACAATCTTGTTTATCCGATGCAAGTAATTTGCATTGTTCTTGAAAATCATGCACAATAATTATGGATGAGCATTTTGTTTTTTGATTTAAATTTTTAATATTTTGGTTCAGTAACTAAAAATCAAGGATAATGTAGATTGATAGTAGCTTTATCGGTGTAGGTAATAGATGAAATAGCTGAAAAGAAACACCAAAAGCTTGATGAAGTGAGAAAAAAATGAAGTCACATGAAGTTCGTTGTGATGAGATTCAAATTCTCTCGTGATCCTTTGGTTATCAAAACTACATGACAAACTATATATATTAAAAATACAATATAATGATAAAAAAAATTATACTATAGGAGAATATATAATTACAAGTGACTATACCTTTAATAACTTGTATGTCCATCTTATAGGTAATATAGGTTATTTATACAAACCTATACACTTGAATACTAAATAGAATTATAATCCCTAAAAAGTAAGAACAATAATTTTTTTTTTAATTGAGTTTCAAGCAAATCATATGATTATTACATCATGTTCTAATATATTTGTTATACTCAAATTTGGGTTGGACTTGATAACCTATCAAATTAAGAAGAAAAGTGGTCAACCTATATCTAATCAAGGCTTGATACAAAATTCAACTCTAAAATGTTTAATAAAAGTCCAAATATCCAATCCAAACCTAATTGATTAGAAACTTTACATTTGATTAAAAAGATTTGAAAAGAGAATAACGAGCAAGATAATTTTTAAGAAGATAATGGTGCATGGTCTCATGACAAAATTGAATTATTATTGAACACGCATAGGAATAACAACACTAAAAACCAAACACTAGTCAACAACATAATCAACAAAGATTCAATAAAAAAATTAACAATAATAAAAACACGGCCAAGACAACAACAAAAAGACATGGAACATTATGCAAAATGAGAAGTTGCAAGGAAACATAAAGCATTTCGGAGGTATATGACAAAGTGTAGAAGAACATGGCCCATTAAAAAAGATCATGGAGTAGTAAGAAACCTATCAATACAAGTTGCAACATTAAAAGAACACAATAGTACAATATACGGACGGACTCAATTTATAAATTGCAAATAGCTCACAGTGGTACTATTCCAAGATTCAAGACATTTGAAACTTATTAGCCTATACTCGCAAGCATTAATCAAGTAGACTAATATATTTATAGGTTGATAGATTGATTCATGGTTCTTGTCTCATATCTACATTTTGTAATCTTGTAAGATAGTCATATCTAGAATACCTATCTAAAAGCACTCTTGATTGATAGCTAACATGAGTATTCGTTTAGACTTTTTACATTATTAAGCTTGAATATTATCTTTTAGAGTATGTAATTTGTTCAATTTTGTAATTTTCAATTTGAATTTGTTATTTTGATTTCAAATTAGTTTTAAAAATTTAAATTGTTCGTTTAAGATCATTATTGCTCGTGAGTAATTGTCTTCGCAAACTTGCATTTCAACTTATCTAAACGGATTGCAAACTTCATTCAAAGATTGCAACTTAGTTTTAATTACTTGATTTTGTTTATTTTATATAAAAAATATCAAAAAACTTCTTTAGGATAAAAACAATACACGTAGGATTGTTAATTAACTTTTCTTTTTTTTTTTAGAATTTTATATTCGAGTTTAGAAGTTGGACTATCTTACATATCACTATCTAATTATTCTTCTTTTTTTTTTTTTTACAAAAATCCTTATAATTGAGACATGAACAAAACAATCCGTACAACAGTGTTCTAATGACAGACTACAAATCCCTACTAATTAGTCAATGTTTTCGGTTCCATGCTTGAATTCGTGCACGGAAAATCAAAGACCACCTAAAAATGAAAGGTAGGTTGTCTTGATATAATATGCATGGTCTTGTCAACGATTTTCCTCCTCCACTAGAAGATACACCTAAATCAAGATTTCGCAAAACATTTATGCAAAGATTTTGTTCGATTCGTAGTAATTAAGGAACTTAATGATGCCATAATTATGGAGGTCATGTGTGGCATTGCCAATT